AGTGTGACCTCACGAACTCATTCACATGTCTCTCATGCGTTGCCGCGGACTTATTTAACTGGGCATGGTCTTTGTCTTGGGTAAAATGGAAATTTGTGGCCCATGGCGGCTATATACAGACGAGATCAAGAAACGAGAGCAGTTTATTCAGTACAGTAAGACCATTTCCACCATCCCTCAGACATTATTCTTCCCCTTTCTCAACGTGACTTGCACTCACAGCTTTGCGCTCACGAAGACTGCTCTCATCAAATGCACGATATTTCTCCTCGCGCTTTTTTGTAATGGCTTGTGTACCAGTCAAAAGCTCGTCACCGTCAAAGATCTGACCAATCTCCTCAAGACCTTTGCCCTTCGTCTCAGGCAGGTACCACCAAGCAAAAACAGTTTCAACGCCGAGAACAGCACACGCAAAGATGTAGTAACGCCAGCCGATGCGGTCCAAGGCTACGGGGTTGACGTAGCCTGTGAAGAAACTAGCCGAGTAGCCACAGAACTGGAAGATCATAGCTGTCTTTGAGCGCAACGAGTAGAGAGAACACTCAACGACGTAGGGAACTGTTGATATGGCAAAGGGTTGGTAGCCAACCTGGAACAGAAAGATCATGGCAACGACTGCGAGCGCCAGAGGCCGATCGGAAAAGTGGCGTTCCTCGTTGAAGGCAGAACAGATGGTCCATACTATGAAGACAACCAACATGGTAGTAATCCCGAATGTGATCAGACCGCGTCGGCCGACTCGATCAATAAGCATAGCAAAGAAAACAGAGCAACACAGCTGCCAAACAGCAGCGATTGCATTGATAAGAAGTTGCGTATTGGCATTAGTTACGCCAATGCTGTTCAAGATCTTGGTCAGGTAATAGCCGGTCAGTCCCAGACCCGACAACTGAGCAGCGAAACCCATGAAGAGTAAGATCCAGAGGCGCTTGCGGTTGCCACTGGTCCGGATAAACTCGGACCACTGGATCGCCTTGTGCTTCTTTTCTTCTTCCAGGGTGGCTTCGATCTCGAGTAACTCGAAGCGCACTAGGCGAGAGTCGTGGTCGCCGCACGAGTGATACTGAGAAAGCACACTCAAAGCTTCATCTCGCCGATCCTTGTACACGAGCCAGCGTGGGGACTCAGGGACCCAAAAGCTAAGAACCAGTTGCAGGATGGCTGGAACGCCTTGCAACAGACTGGGTAGCCTCCAGCTCCAGGAAGAGTTCATCTTGAACGTGCCAAATGTTGTCCAAGCAGCAACGAGATAGCCCTGGTGGGTATAACATATCAGTATTATTGCTAGAGGCTCAGGACTATCAGTGCCAAAAAGGACTTTGACCACTTACGACAACCCATTGTGTCATGTATAGAGACACCATTTTCCCGCGATGAGTCGGGTATGCGACTTCTGTCATTAGCTGAGGAGCGGCCACAGCTACGATGCCAGTTCCTAAGCCAATGATGATTCGGCCGGCGACAAACATGCCCAGGTTCTGGGCACCGCCCTGAAGGGCAGAACCGACGATGATCAAGAAAGTGCCTAGCGTGATCGGTTTCTTCCGTCCGAAAATCTCGCACAGCTGAGAGGAAAAGAGGGCGGATACGAGAACACCAATATTAATCGCATTGACAAGAGTTCCGAGGTTAGCGCCTGTCTATCAGCTCATCCGTCAGTCTCATACAATACAACCTGTCACCAGAGAAACATACTGGATCTCCAAATGCTTCCCGCCAGAGAGGCAGAGACTGCATGCCGTTCAGCATGCTGCCGTCGAATCCGCAGGTAAATTGGGCCAGAAAGGCACTGAGCAGAAGCAAGTTCAGCTTGCGTAAATTGGGGTACTGAAACCACCATTTGTCCAGTTTGGGGATGACATCGGCGAGGACAAGGCCTTCAAATTCTTCCACATCAGCCATTTCTCTCTTGGCGTCGTTCGGATCGTTCATGTTGAGCGAACAGAGGCTATCGGCAGGATCTAATAAATGGAAGCTTGGAACTTGTAAGAAGCGATAAATGACAAATCTGTTGCTGAAGCATAGCCACTTGTATGCAAGTGCAGATCGCCAATATATAGAACGCAGGCAATTACAGATAATTCCAGCCATGACGAATTTCGAATTCAGGTCCGCCTTTGACTCTATTAGAATGCGGGGAAAACCTGGGGGCGTTGGGTTACGCACTAGTGGCATGACATCGGAGAAAGCGTCGGAGCAGCTCCTACAAGCGATCAATTCTTGCCGTTTCATGGGCCTCATTTGCTACTGAGTTAGTCGAAGCTTCTATCAGGTCATAATTGGAAACGATTGGGCATGTCGTTCCATGGCTTCAAGCCCTGAGTCTGCCGCCACAGCTATTAAAATCTTTTCCGAAGCCAGCAGCACATAACGCTTGCCCATGGAGCTCGAGACGTAATTCCAGGTAACATCAGCTAATATTAGCCAGACAGTCGATAATGCCTCTCGTAGAGTGCTAGAGGGTTCTCAGCATAAGACGAAACACAGAAGACTACAAATGAATTGATCGTGAAAAAGCCATTATGCCAAATATGTCATACTGTCAACTGAAGTGTGCCAGAACTTTGTTTACTCTCGGCATGCGGCCTAAGTTTCGGCATTCGTGGTGAATGGGGGACGTTCATTGATTCAATGACCTTTCCGTAGCATGTGTGAAGTATACCTTCTAAAATAGCGTGCATGTGTTGATTGAGAGGACATACGCTGGTCCCTTTTGAAGCAGTGCATCTTGCTCATTCCTCGGAGTCAGATTCAGTATTTCAGCATGCACGACATATGTTTCCAGACGGCATACGAATATGTTCTAAATTTATTGCCTAAGTAGCTTGGAGCTACTGAGTAGATTATAAAGACATGGCAGATAGACTGCGCGCGCGAATGGATTTCATTGTTTGCCACTATCTAGAATAGACAATAGGATCCAGCGAGGGGTCGTGACGCCAAAGCACCGTGTTTACACTGCCATGCTCATCGACCCCAAACTCTACCTTCCAGAATGACGGATCATTATCATTTCCTAATACCCATCTACCGCGGCGCGACAAATCGTTCCGTGGTTGCAACCACGTAAAAGTATCGCCATCGTAATGTGTCAGCTTGTACCTTTCCGAGTCCATTCCCTGGAAAGCCCAAAAGAGCGCTCCCTCTTTCAAAGTGACCACAACGCTGAACACACGGCTCGTATCAATGTATTCTCCCACGTATTTCTCCAATGGTTTGTGAGGGTTGATGGTCTCCGGTTGGCCCTGCACCAGACCTAGAGCAATTCGGTCATACCATCCCAAGTTGATACCGATAGACATCTTCGCGTGCGAAATAAAATCTGTGCGATCCTTGATCGGAACGCCAGTGATTTCCTCAAGTACCATTTGTGACACCCAGTCAGGCACATCAGTAAGTGAGAGGCTGTTGCTCATGACCAACACGACGCTCTCCGTACGGGGAATCAGTACAACAACCGCAAGAGCGCCTGGGAGCGTGCCTTGATGGTATAATATCAGCTCGTCACCTCCTCCTTTTCCGATGATCGGCATTCCCTGCGGCATCAGCCGGCCGTTCAGGCCAATATGTCCCAAGGTGCTGGGCAGCTGCACACGGGCCCATCCCAGTCCGTAAGACACTTCTTCCCTCTCAGTCGAGAGCATTGGAACGTGGGGAAACATGATATTCGACACCTGCTTCAGAGGAGAGCCTGGTGTACAGGTTCGGCCTGTCTGACACTCATGATTGAAACTCTGAACAAAGCAAGTATAGAGCTTGATCAAGTCAGCAGCGCAAGACTGGAGTCCACCCGAACCGCAGCCGATACCATCCTCACCAAGCTTGGGTCCTAGTATGCACCATGGTGTGCCATCATCCAAGGCGTTGTAAGACTTTGTCACGTTATCTGTGTCGCTGGGTGGGGGTTTCATAAAGGTCCTTCGCAAGCCGAGCGCAGTGAAGACCTGCTGCTGGAGGAAGTCATCCAGAGAAGTACCGCTGAGGCTTCTGAAACTCTCATCGCAGGCATCATAAGCAGTGCTATTGTACGCGAATGAACCAAGGTGCGCGGGGACCAGAGTCTGTTGATTGACGACCCGCATGCAGTCGTCTTTGTCGATCAATATATTGCCCTCACAACCACCAACCAGGTTTCCGCATGATGACATACCACTGCGGTGGCTGTAAATATCTGCCAGTGTTGTGTTATTATACAAATAAGTGTCGTTGGGATGGAAAGAGGGTGTTGCGTCTTTGACAAGCATCTCCCACGATGCAATGCCTTGGTCGACCAATATGCCCATGGCCGCGGCTGACAGGCCTTTAGCGAGTGAGCATACTGGGAATATTGTCTCTTCTGTAACAGGAAGTCTGTTCTGGAGGTCTCGGAAGCCGTAGTTTCCATGATAGACAGGCTGGTTCTTGGTTGCGACCGAGAGACTCAAGCCTGGCGTGCCACCAAGCTTCATCAACTCTTGAATGGCAGGGCCAAAGGCATCAAGCCTACGGGATAAGTCGTCCATGGCACTTCGGTGTTAAAAGTAGCTCCAATGCAACGAATCTCGATCTGGAAACTGGCATGCCCCTTAAACTCTTATCATGAGTCTATACTCTATAGTACCTTTATGGAGGTGGACTTCGGGATGAGCCCGACAGCTTGGCCGACGGGGGTTAGTTGCAAAAGCCCGCACGCGGATAGTAGACCCCGCTTTGTGTCTACAGCCTTATCATCCTTATCATTTTCTAGAAATTAAAGAAGTCGATGTGGCCAGTAGATTTGTCCAACTTTGTTTTCCCGCCAACTGGTTCCCAGCTGGGGACGGGCCTCTGGTCTAAGCAGGTCAGATCGAAAAAGACGATCAGCCTATCTATGACTATGTATTAGATGATCTACACGACGCGGGACATGCTTCAATAGCATACAGCCAGGATTTTCCAAGACGATACCTTGGAACACATCATTCACCACGAAGACAACTCTGCTGGTCCTTCCAGGCCAGACTCATATTCATGACTACACATCAGTCTCCAATATACGAGCGACTCAGCATACTAACGCGCTCTGACGGAAGAAACGTCTGCTCTGAGAGATCATAGAAATCGAGGCAATTCCCTGCCATATTCATATCCGTACCAACCACTTCTCCCATGTCATTACCCGGCTTTCCCTGCGCGGCGAATATTGAATCGTGAGTTGCGTTGCCCATCTGAAATGACAGCGGAAGCGGCGGGAAAGCCAGAGAAATGCTCTCGGGCGACTCCGTCTGAGTACCATTAATGCCTATTTCTCCGTCTAATACGCCTGGTACTGCTGCTTCATTTGAGGCACTCATCCTTTGAAGTCCTGCACTGCGAAAGCTCACATCCGCATTTCTTAATGAAGGAATGGCGTCTTGCTTCTCAGAAAAAGCTTCCCGGATATCGACCGAACCAGAACCTTCGATGCGAGCCTTCTTGAGGCGCGAGCAGAACTTAGAAGCCAGATTGGCTCGGGCTGCAGGCTGGTCCCCGTTCCACCTACGAGATATCTCCTCGAGGCTCGCTATGATCGAATTAAAAGATGAAGTAAGAGTGGACTGGTAGTATGCGGCATGAGTCAGCAGCATCTTGCCGCACACAAAGAGGCAAAACGAAAACTGGGGACTGATAAGTACATGTGAGTGGCCAAGGAACTGCTCTGCGATTGTGGCAACTTCATCGGCCGCAACCTGACAGGTCTCTGCACTGGAAGCAGAAGGCAGTCTGACAGGAAGAGACTGCCATTCTGCTGGTGGATACGCTAAGCCCTGGTGTAGGAGGACAACGGCAGTGTTGTGTGCTATGTGCGCAAGGACTAGATTGGGATCCAAGTTGCCGTCATTGTTGAATTGGCAAGCTTTGCGCCATTTCTCAGGGAGAAAGAATTTCCACCTGGTCTGGTTAGCTCAGCCTCTACATTCTTTATATGGGAAGGGAATACATACTGCACGAGCCGCAAGTCCAACTGCTTAAATCTCATAAGCCACCTCTGAACTTCGTGGACCTCCTTGAAGTCAACTCTGTATTGGAGAAAAAACGATGTGACAAGGCTCAAACTCTCCGTTGCCTCTATACAAAATGCGAAGCCTCCTAGAGAAGCCTGGCCATCCTCGGTATCGCGAGTGGCTGGCAAATAATCCTTCTCACGGTCGTGGGACCGGGTCGAGATGCCAAAGTAGGGAGTAGGAGTCTGGCTTGGTTCTCCAGTCTCCCATATAGCGCCTTCGCAAGGCAGCCTCCTTGTGACATCAGCACTAGTTAATGAGAGGTTCCATCCGGTGCAGATACTGCAGAAGCGGTCCATGAGGAAGACATTCCAGAAGATGCGGCGCCGCTCTTCTACTTCGGCCCACGTTGCCGCTGGGGGGAGAAACGCCACCCTCTCGATTAGAGCCTTTGACCTGGACTGATGTGACTGGGTCTCCTCCTCAGTGCTGAGGCGTAGTTGTTCAACGGTTCTAGACATGCTGCCGACTATGGACCATGCCGAGGGACCTCTGCCGCTACCAATAATGTCAAATGCACAAATGGTCATTGCTTGCAAGTTCTCGACCGAAAAGGACTCCATACTCGCAAGTATGACTGTCTGGCGGCAGCTGGTGGAGTACTGAGCACGGAGTTCTGGAGCGCTCTGGAGCCGTGGATCATCTGAGAATCGGATACAGAGAGATACTATAGCGTGGAGTATTGTCGATACTCGCGCTCTTCCAGAAGAATTGGAGAGCAGCCCTCGAAATGTCGGCTCATGTAGCATTGGTATCCAAGGATGCATCTGACTGAAGTATATGTTGACCATTGAGTCCACTAGATCGTCTGGAGGGAGGGTACCCAGGTTAATCTGGTGTTGAAGACCGGAATTATTTTTTGACTGGTGCGTATTTGTCGCATCGAATGTGCTTCCTGGCTGAATTCCTTCCCCCACCGAATCCACCTGTTGACCGATTTCCGATAATGGCAATTCGGTGAGATGTCTTCTGACATCTGATGCCATCTGCTGGATTGACACTTCCGGATGCGAGTCTGGTGTTTGCCCGTACTGCTGGTTAGTTGGCTTATTGATGCTGTTCCAGATCTGCTGCCAGAGAACACCCTGGCCAATAAACATGTTTTCCAGCGTCGCTACCGGCAAGTAAGTCAGCTACAAGGATTGAATATGTGAAGTCGCTTTGCTGCGTACCTACACGCTGAGTCAATGTCTCAATAGCCCCCGCTCGCATGCCCGGCTTTGACTTTTCCTGGTCGTATATGCATTCGGCTCCTTCAACATGTCAGTCGGTCAAGTTATAAGGATGCGTGAGATTTACCGAGCTTGATACAGGTCCCGCATGGTTGATCTCTTGAGCATTTTGCCTTTCGCCTGCGGCATAGGGAACACGAAGGTCCTTGGGGATCGTCTTTGCTGGTGCGCTTGCGTTTCTCAGGTCGAGGTTCGTCTGAATGGACTCCATTGAGTCGGGGCGATGACTCTTCATCGTTATCTTGCTCTGAGTAGGGCTGAAAGCTCATGTTTGGAATCTGCTGGTCGCGATAAAGCAGCGCTGATAAGCTTTGATGTGCACGCGGCGTGTTGCGAACATGCGAGACGGCAGAGACAATCAATCATAACGAGTGGCGGGGCCCCATGGGGCATGTCACGTCACATCACCCTCGTTGGAGTTTAGTTTTCGTGGAGAAGTGTCTGTATGATCTCATTGGGTATCGGGGTCGGGATAGGTCTCGGAAATGAGCCCGACAGCCGTTCAATCACAAGAGTATCAACATATGTTGTATTTCAAACATCTTTACCAATGAAACTATTCTACTACTTAGCTTATCTTGATTGCTGTTTATCTTGCAATTACATTCATTACAACCTTTTCTTTATCACTCTGAAAATCTTTATATGCATGTGACTTAACAATATGAGATGAGATGGATGTGACTTCTAGTGCTAGACTGAATGGGGTTTGTGATCCATCGCTCGAGTGGAGATTGTCCTAGAGTATAATTGGGTCGCTTAAATGAGGTAGGAAACAGAAAAGCGGGCTCGTCGGAGCAAGTCCGTAATCTAATCCGTCGCCGGTCAATCTGCTGAGTGTAGGGTATTATTGCAATTTTAGATTTCTCTTTAGTAAAGTTATAGCAAGAAGCCACTTCTGTTAATAACAATTTGTATAAGTAATATAGTATATAAAATTGAATCAACTAGATCTGTCTGCTATTTTAAGTTTTTAACTTTAATATGAAGATTTACTCTAACTTGTAATATTAAGCCAAGAGGAAAAATAATGACTACGGAATAGTTGGTTGGAATTGAAACGAACTGTGATTTTGTCGGAGAAACCATGGGTAACACCCGTGGAGCCAGGCTTATCTTAGCGTCATTTTCTTATCTGAATCCAATCTCCTAAGATAAACCAATCTCATCTCGGTTAGCTTCACCTGGCTAATTACAGCCCCCCAACCCAAAGCACCATTCTCGAGCTCACTGGTACAATTGGCTAGTCAGCACATCTACTGGTTATAATTAAGGGCCAGAAACTACGGGTCCAAGGCAAAGATGCTTATATATAAGGAGACGAAGGCGAATTAAAAATACAAGAATAAATCAGCATCAGATTTGGCCTATCACCTTCACCATCGATCGTAATTAGGAATGTTCTCCTCGTGAAAAGTCTCCCTGACCTCGTTGAATCCAACTTGGGGTCCATTGTGAGGCCAGGGCTCTCCATCCCCAGTTGCAAATATCGCCCAAGATGCGCCCGAAAACACAAACCAGTTTGGCGGAGCAAAAGCTTGCCAGGACGACGCGAATGACGTTACGTAAACAGGGGCCTCCTTTCCGAAACTGTAACCTAGCCGGTATTTGAGGGGTTCAGCCTTGATGTGTAGCCTGAAACCACCAGCAAGACCGCTCGTTTGGTTGAGTGGAGTTTGCCAATACTGTCGCCATTAGCAATGGCTTCACATATACATTGAAATGGCCACTCACCTCCTGGGTGCCATTCTTGTTGAGCTCAGTGTAGATGCAAATACCGGTAGCATTAACACATCCTCGAACACCGATATCTTGATGCTGAAACTCGGAGAGGTATGAAGAAATCCCGATCCTGTTTCTTGGGCCCAGATCCCCCTTGAAGTTGGAGAGTTCGGCTGAGAAGGTCATGTTGAGCGACTTCTGCTTGCGTAACAACGCCGCTGGGGTATCGCGGTCACTGAGACCGAAGACGTTAGGTTTCAGCACCAATTTACCTTTCTCTAACTTGTAATTCTTGGTATACGGTGCTCGAAGTTGATACCATGATGGGTCGAGGTTAGTACGAGAAAAGTCGTCGACCCATTGTCGAGGAACCTGTCGTGGACCAACCTCTGGCTTTATTTGCTTGCTGAGCAGAACAGGATCGCCTTGGTTGAAGACTGGCCACTCATCCTTCCAGTCAACATTGACCATGAATGTCTCTCGGCCTTGTCATAGTTAGGTATCAATCAACAAATATTTGAAGAGGCGAACGCACCGAGAGGAGATGATCCGTTGATGTTGCGGCGAGCCAAGAACGTCGCATACCATAGTCCGTCATTTGTCTTTGTCAGGGTAGCATGTCCAGTGGACTGGACGGTGAGATTGTCAAAACCCCATTGACCATTGTATAGCAGAGGGTTGTGTGGCCCGGCAACAAATGGACCAGAGGGAGTCTTGCTTCTTGCGATGGTCGATCGATGTAGCTGATCCGTACCGCCTGAGGAGCATCAACTTTTGTTTTGCTCGAGAAAGTCTCAAACACACCCACCTTCAGCGATCAGGAGATAATACCACTCATCCTTGTAATACATCTTGGGTCCTTCGGGTCTGGCTGTCGAATTATGTGGTAAGGTCCCGTTCCAAAGACTAACATAGGGTCCTACGCAATTTCCAGATGCCAGAGATACCTCGCACTGGGAGATACCCCAGAGTCGATCTTTGTTGTTGTTGGGGGCCATGAGGTTGAGGTAGGTCTTCTTGGTCACAGGGTCCTGGAAAAGCTCAGGGTCGATGCCCCATGGCTCGGCCCAGACAGGGTCAGACCAGTTAACGAGGTCTTCCGAGGAGATGAACCAGACACGAGGCCATACACGGGCCACGGGATCATAGGTCCAACGGGTCATTGCTGACAACCAGAACTTGCCATTGATAAAAGAGAGACTTGGCGCCCAGGCCCCTGTCAGTAGTGAGTCAGATATCTTGCATCGCACATGAGAATTGGAACGTGGGATTTACCTGCTCCAGTGGGCGTCCCATAGAGCTGCAGCTGCTCTGGCCTTGTCAAAGCATGAGACTTGATCGTCCAATTGGATAGGTCCTTGCCTTGAAATCAATCAGCAAATCTGGCTCGATGAAACAATGGGTTGGGAATTTACTATGGTAGATGGGAATACCGGGCCAGTACTCGAAAGAGGAAGTGGCGATGTAGTAGTCGTCGCCCACGGTCAGTATCGCAGGATCTGGATTCCAACCACTAATGATGGGGTTCCAGATGGCCTGAGCCACTGGCAGGAATAGCAGAACCCAACCGCACAGAAAACGAGTTAACGGATACATGGCAGTTACTTAGATATGTTGTTTTGAAGCTGAAGGAAGATTCAATGCCTGATATCTTAAAATAATCAGCGTAGCCCCATAATATGGTTTGGGTTAATCACCACGGCTATATTCGATACGCCAAACGGCAGACACAGGCTCCGAGGTAGGCTTATGGAGTCGTCTTAATACAGCCTATGCATTGTAGTATGTATAATGGTGATCTTGGTATACATACTGGTAATAGGCTGGCTTCGGAAAAGGCCCGAGACCTTTCCCGACATTATGTCAGACCAAAAAGCCGGGCTCTGCTGTTTACAGCAAGGCCTGTATTTAATTTAATTTAATTAAATAAATTTATTTATAAAATATTACAATAATCTATTTATTTAAAAGTATAAAGAAAATATTTTAAAATTTTATTAAGAAAAAGTATTTTAATAAAAAGAAATAAATTTTTTAAGAATATATATTAAAATATATATATAACTACTAATACTAAATAAAAAAAAATAGATAAAAATTATAGTTTTATTATTAAACTAAATAAGTAAACTTTTATTTATTATCTTTAATAAAGGATTAGCTTCTGTCTTTAATACAGTAGCTGACTTAATACCAATAACTCTATCCATATGAGTAAGAATAGATTTGCAGACTAGTAGCTGCTGGGAGGTCGCGCGCTTGCAAGATGTAATGATTTTCAATGGCTGAAGAATAATCAGGGCCCCGGCCCCATCATTGGGCGTGGGTACAGGCTGGCCACTCGGGTCCACTTCAGCTAAGGCGTAGGGAACACATGAGAGCATATCGTCGATAGTTACGCGAACATCATGCTCTAGAGCGGGCAAGTAGTCGGCCCATCCAGCGCTTATAGCGTACCCCCCTCTGGCGCCCTGTCGTATCCTTTCTTCGAGATATTCCAGCGCGCTTATCAAAAGAATCAGACGTGATAAGCGAATTAAGATAATCGTGCAGGCGGTTTCCGGGTCGTAGTAGTGCGACCCTGTGGCAACCTTTCCAAGGGCGATAGGTACTGTACGATCCTCAAACGTGTTTCTCCAGTAGACTGGGGCCTCTTCATCCCAGGTATCAAACTTATAGAGAATCTGGAAGCAGTCTTCCAGTAATTGAGCGTCTACCGCCTCTTGGTCGCACGATGTGAAAGTCTCTGTTGAGCGCCGAATACCACTTGTGCAGCTAACCAGAGCATGCCTCAAGTGCAGCATTTCCGTCGTTAAAGACATGCCGCGCATCAGCGGGTCGAAAAGGCCGAGAAAATGCTCCATCCCGCCAGGGTCGCTATAGGTGTCGTCGTTATGCAAAAATGAGTAAATGTGCTGGAGAGTTTAGTAAAGGCTCTAGACTAAGAGAGAAAGGTAGCTTACAATTCGCAGAAGCGAAAGGATATAGAGCTCAAAGCCCCTACCCGTAGCCAACTGCTCAAGCCCCCTCATCTCTAGAAGGGAATAAAGCCCGGATACATGCTCGCTGGGGTCACCAAAGCCTTCGCCGCTGATATCCTTGAAAGTGCAAAGCAAAAGGACTGAAGCAAGGACTTTGTCATCAGTGATGCCTTGCCCGGAGGATATAGTATCCTGGAGCATGCCGATAGCTCGACCATAATTACGGTAAGATTGCACCCGAAGCCTGTCGCATCCAAGCTGGTTGTAGGCAGCCATCCGAGCTACGCTCAGGGCAGTAACCTCCAAAAGGCCGTGGCCATCGCGGTTCAAGATACTGGGGAGGCAGGTCATGTTGCTCGGATAACTATCCGCCCTATTGCGGGCTACAAAACGATGGATAAAGTAGCTTAGGGAGGCGCGGTCATCATCACATAGATCTATGATGGGAGATCTAACCAGCATTGCACTTTGAGACTGCACACGTTTGATTGGGTCCCAGGCACGTTCGTCGTCGTTACCGTTAGTATTCACGTGTTGTGACGGGTTTGGTGACTTGGAGCGGGATAGACCTGGAGAGGCCGCCCTCGAGCCTTTGAAACTAGAGCTTTGCAATGGCTGGCGGAATGGAAACTGGTCAGTATATCCCGGGCAGGGTAAGCCGTGGACGTAGCAGCGATGACAGGTAGGCTTTGTCTCGTCGCACTTGAATTTGTTAGCGATAGTGGAATTGTTAAGCACAGTCGAATGATTCCGCACCTTGATCTTGCGCTGCCGACAGCGGATGCAGCCAGTGCTGAAACGACCGGGAAATACCATTATGGATAGATAGAGCTGGTTAACAGCAGTACTTTTGCAAATGGATGCGACAAATACGACAAGGGCGAAACCAAGGAGGTATTGGAAACGGGTCATGAAACGTAGAGGTTACGGTAGGAATGTTGGTTTGTGGGGACCCCAGATTCTCTGCCGAGGAAGAAGACATTAAAGACCCACCGTCTCCGGGGTAGATGCGGGGTGCTGAGCCGGGCTATGTCTCCTTACATACTTTTGGGCTCTGGTGTATGCTACTCCTCTTTGAAGATTGTTATTGTTATGCAGGTTATTCGGTAAGGTTCCGGGTTTCTTGTCTGAAATATAACACAGAACCTAATTTCGCCTCTTGTGTGGTGGAGTACAGGACTGTAGTAGTTAGGCAGGAATGTGATCTTGATTATTTATTGAGGTGCCAGGCAAGACTAACTAGTCCACGTTTAGATCCCCCTTGCGACCCTGTCATCGCCATCCAATAGGGAGGCCTAGCTAATCCCCGACTAGAAATCGCGTGAGCCGCAATGACCTCCAACTTCATATTCGCCGGCGGCCCGTTGGAGCATATTGCCTGGCGTAATTGGCAATTCCACACAATGATAGAGTTTTTATACCATCTCACTATTGATTCCAGTAAATAAGCTTCGCAATACTGGACGTTCTGTCATCTGACACGTAGACATTCATGGTGTCTTGCTGTTATCCGCTTCATGTGATTTCGGTTCAGTCGGAAGTATCCAACTCTTAGCAGCCGGCTATATATATCACCAGCTCGCTCGCTATATTTTGCCCTACTTCAAGCTCTCTACTTATACATTTCTCTCGTTCCAACTTGTCATCTAAAGCCACCATCCCCCATGTTGTCTACAGTATTCAAGTTCGCATTCCTCCTTCCGCTAGCAGTTGGGGGTCTTGCTACTCCTTCGCCTCCGGAACTCGCGAGGCGCGCAGTCGCACCTCCCTCAGAGGATCCCTTCTACAAGGCCCCAGCCGGGTATGAAGATGCCTCTCCGGGAGATATTTTGGCATACCGCAAGGCACCAGCCAAACTTGCTGCCTTCCAGGCGATCCCGTTGAACGTGAAGGACGTTTGGCAAGTCTCATATAGAAGCACCGACGTTTTTGGAAAACCACAGGCTTCTGTCAGCACTATTATAATTCCTTATAACGCCGACTATTCCAAAGTCATCTCCTACCAGATCGCCGAGGATGCTGCGTACATCAATTGCTCTCCTTCTTACGTCTTGCAGCAAGGCACCAACACGACTTATGCTGGCACCAGCAGCATAGAGGTCCTTCTCATGGCTGGAGCTCTCAGGCAGGGCTGGATCGTGAGCTCTCCCGATTGGGAGGGTCCTCAGTCAAGCTTTATCGAAGGTGTCCAAGCTGGACAATCCACTCTAGACTCCATCCGTGCCGCCCTGAAATCTAACAAGTTCACGGGGATCAAACCAAGCGCAGCCGTACAAATGTGGGGTTATTCTGGAGGTCAGTACTGCGTGATAACCTGTCTATGCTTATCCCTGAGACTGTAACTAACACTGAGGTAGGTGCTCTTGCATCGGAGTTTGCCGCAGAACTGCAGGCTTCCTATGCTCCGGAGCTCAACATTATCGGAATGGCGATTGGTGGCACTACGCCAAATGTTCAGAGCGTCTACAAAACTATCAACAATGGTCTTTTTGTCGGCCTTAGCTTCGCAGCTCTCGGAAGCCTCACCAAGATTTTCCCTGATGTTAAGGATGCCATTGATGCTCAACTTGTCCCTTCCAAGAAAGACGCCTTTTATTCATCTCTTGAACGTTGCTTCTATGACGATGTGGTGAGCTACGCGTTCCAGAACTCTTCTACCTACTTCAAGTCGGACATCATGAAGGATCCAACTGTGTCTCGCTACTTGAACAGCAACTGCAACCAGGGTTCTCATGGCACCCCAGGAATGCCAATCTTCTGGTACAAGGCGCAGAATGACGAGATCTCTCCAGTTGCTGACACAGATGCCGTTGTGGAGAAATACTGTTCCGCCGGCGTGTCCGTCACCTATGTTCGGGAGGCGGCTGGTGAGCACTTCACTGAGGCAGCTCTTAGTATTGGCGATGTACTTAATTTCCTTACGGCTCGTTTTTCTGGAACCCCTATTTCTGGGTGCACGACCAGAGATGTATTCTTGAGCCCCTTATCATCCCCAAGCACCGCTAAGACGGCTGGCACGTTTATTGTTGGAACTCTACTTAGTCTGATTAGTATTCCTATTGGATTAAGTCACCTTTAAGTTAGCTAGTTTAGTAAGGCTAATACCTTAAGCTAAGGAGTCTTAGATTTATTTATTTAAGATTAAGGCAATTACTAAATTAGTAACTATATATATTATATATTAGGCTTAGTGTTAGTATATACCATTTAGCTTAATGTACTCCCTAATGGGGATTGCCCGAGACCTTTTCCGACAGTATGTCAGACTAAAAGACCGGGCTCCGCTGTATACAGCAAGGCCTGTAGTCACTTCACGGAATACGAAGAACGTAACCGAGATCTGCAGTGGGTCTTATGGGTAAGGGTATCATCTTAGAGACTCACAAGCTTACGGAATATTATCCGATATCTTCTCCGGTCTAAGCTAGATTATCATGTATCTCCAGCTATCAACTGAATAAGCATTCTTCGAGACAAAATAATTTGTAGTCTTGAAATAACGACCCTATTTGCAATAAGCATTTCATTGTTTTCTTCTGTATCTTTTACCTGGATTCCCACCGTGCTTAGCGCCCTATAGCCCGCAACGATGAAGCTGTCAGAAACTATGCAGCCTAGTCAGATATTGGCGACAAAGCGTAAAATTCCTGTGCGCACCCTTAATCTATTGAGTATTGCGGCAGTCGCTCACCATTATTCTTCTAGATTTCGGAGAGCCAATACACAAATGGTGCGAAGAGAAATGGGACGGAGAAAACAAAAGCCGACGTGAAGAAATCGCTATCCAGTGAATACAAGCATCTTGAACTTCTCTACTCCCCGTCCGTTGAGATGAAGATATGGGCCATCGCTGAGAGAAGCCTCAACATGGTATGTCCTTTGCAGATTAGAGTGAAAATTAGAGTGAAAATCTAACACCCAAACCAGCCAGAGCCGCCTACCTGGTTCCCGGAATATACCAAACCCGGAAGCACTGAGTATGTCTACAGAGATGCTTCGTTCTGGACCTCGGGCTTCTTTCCGGGATTGCTCTACCTGATCATGGAGCGTAGAAAGAAATTCCAAACCGAACTGCGACTTCTTGGCCTTTCTCGACCAAAGCCAGACTTTCCTCACACGCTTCAGCTTGAGTACTGCTCTCTTACCTATTTGTAATCAACACACGTTGCTGATAAATTATTGCTAGATATGCCTCCAAATGGTGGACAGAGAGTCTCCACCAAAACGGGTCTCTCATGGGCACGCACGATCTGGGGTTCATGATTTGCCCTTGGGCTCGTTTGCAGTGGGATCTACATCGTGACCCAAAGGCGTTTGACACATTGATGACGGCCGCCAATACCCTAGCCGACCGTTTCTCGGACAAGGTCGGTTGCATACGATCATGGGATGTCTGCCAGACAAAAGTCTACTCGTTCACGGACCCAAGCAAGGACTTTCTTGTCATTATTGTAAGTTTGATGTCCGAAAATGGACTTCTTATGGTCAGACGAACATTGCTGACTCAACAGGACAATATGATGAACCTCGACCTCCTCTTCTGGGCGGCATCCAAAGCCTCTTCCCCAGCTGACTCGACCCGATTCTTCGACATTGCCATGGCCCATGCTCGCACATCGAGAGAGTACCTTATTCGTGCCGACTGGTCAAGCTACCACGTTGCCAACTTCGACCCCTCGACCGGCGCTCTCAAAGAACGTCTTACAAACCAGGGCTACAGCCATACATCCTGTTGGTCGCGAGGTCAGGCATGGGCCATTGCAGGGTTCGCAAAGTCTTATGAATGGAGCGGCGAGAGTTCTTTTCTTGACACGGCCAAGAACTGTGCCGATTACTTCTTGAGGAGATTACCCGATACACATATTCCGCCATGGGACTTTGACGCACAGGACGAGTCTGCTGCTACGCAACCCCCAGACACAAGCGCAGCCATGGTCGCTGCTTACGGCATGCTGCTTATCCATCAATCCCTCCAGAGCCGCTCCGAGGCATCTCCGTACCTCGACCATGCCCTGCGGATAGTAGATGCTGTTTGCGAGAGGCACTTGAACCCTGCCGCCAGCCATAAACAGGACCTGGGGACGATTCCTACAGTGGAAAATGGTCGTGCCACTGTCGTCAAGTGTGTCGAGACAGCTGCGGGACTCGGAGACACCATCCTCAACGGAGCGACTATTAACAACTTCGAATTTGCGCCACGTCGTTGGGCCGATCATGGGCTTGTGTATGCTGATTACTTTTTCGTCCTGTTTGGAAACAAGCTTCTAGAAATGAACGCGTTGAGGTCATTAGCATAGATTGAGTAGAGGTATCTTAAATCACGAATGTAAACTTTTTATCTATACTTGTCATATCGTCCCCTGAACCTATATTTCTGCTGCAGGTGAGAGGGCAAATTTTGTTGCCAACGAGCGAAGATCCTAGCATCAATAATATCAAGCTTAAAGCTTTTCCTTCTTACCAGAACAAAGAGCACGTAGAGCCCTAGGCTGCACAAATGATAATAGTCTGTGGCCATTTTCATTGCCATGTTAGATCGCCACGACTGAATTGGCTTTGATCCTGCGGTGCTCAGTAGATACATTGTCTTCAACTTCACTAAATAAACAGAGAGAACGTTGTCTTCAGCTTCAGATCTAGCCAAAGAATAGTTCATTCGTCGCAATCTTCTTAGAGAATCATGTTAGTAGAGTACAGATCCCTGGAGCGGAGATAGCTCTGAGAATTGGCCCCAAAACACCATCAGAGCTGCTCTGAACGGGGGCGGGTCATTGGTGACGCCATGTGGGTATGTCAGTGGCGTGGTCGCTGGGTAAAACAACTGCTAGCGGAGGATACGACGGTATCGCCTGTGGGGGCGTCGGGCGTAGTTCCGATAGATCCCCCGTCCTCCGCCTCCACGTTTCCCCGCAGTAGCTCTTGTTTGTGACTTGTGACTTATACACTTGCAGTGTACTGTAATTGTATCGGAGCTGCGCCAGCTTCGAGTTGTAGTTATATGAAGCATTCTTGTCTTCGTCCATCACTTTTGCTCATCACTAGGTGTTCAGAGTAACTACACATCGACTAGATCAACTCTTGACATATCCTAGACTTTATCGAAGCCCAAGATCCGTCATGGTTAAAGCAATCGAGGTACAGCATAGTGATTCCATCACTCCTGCTGAGGCAACTGCCAATCACGGTCAAAAGACCGCAACCGCAGATCTTGAGGTACTGTAGAACATGCCCGCGGCTTACATCACCAATGTACTAACATCTCAATTCTAGACTGCCAACTACGCCCAAGATGCCCCGATCGAGATTGACGACAAGACAAACAAGGAGCTTTTCTGGACTATCAACAGGCGCATCCTAGCTTGTATGCTCGGAACATACTTTTGCCAATCTCTGGACAAGGGCACGCTCGGATTTTCGTCTGTTATGGGTATCCAGGAAGACGCCAATCTCCACGGACAGCAGTTCTCGTAAGTAGAGCCGTCCGCGCTCTTGTGGCAATGGGGATAGCACACGAGATACCTGATTCAACGTACTGACGTCTTGACCAATCAGATGGCTAGGAACAATCCTTTACATGGGAGTTCTCGTCGGCGAATATCCTACCAATTTCCTGCTCCAAAAGCTACCTGTTGCCAAGTACTTGGCGACCAATGTCTTCTGTTGGGGGGTTGTGATTGCCTGTTCTGCGGCTGCCAAGAACTTTGCTAGCCTCATGGTAGTTCGTTTTCTTTTGGGTATGTTCGAGTCCTGCGTTCAGCCGGCTTTTATCATCATGTGAGTCATAGACATCCCCGACCCCTTTGCAGCTCTTCCGATCTAATGATATGGTGCGATAGGACGAGTATGTGGTACACAAAGCGGGAACAAAGCATCTTGACGTCTCTCTGGTACTGTATGACTGGAGTTCAGCTCATGGTATGAAAGGTCCATCTAAGGGTAACACCGAGGTATCATGTACTAACAAAAGCACTTGTAGGTTGGTGGCATCATTGCATGGGGAGTGTCTCACTACAAGGATGGAGTCATCTATCCTTGGCAACTACTGTTCCTCGTCCTTGGACTACTCACCTGTGTCTGGGGCGTATTCATCGGCTGGTGGCTGCCCGATTCTCCCATGAAAGCAAAGTGCTTCAACGAAGACCAGAAGCGGCTCATGGTTGAGCGTGTTCGTGCCAACGAGACCGGTATCCAGAACAAATCTTACAAACGGTATCAGGCCATCGAAGCAGCCACGGATCCCATTGTTTGGTGCTATGTTATGCTCCAACTCACCTCTACTCTGATCATCGGCGGTCTGGGTGTCTTTTCGAATCTCATCATTTCCTCCTTCGGATTCACCTATCTCCAGACCCAGCTTCTTAACATTGCCCAGGGTGCTGTGACAATCGTAGTCATGGTCGGAAGCGCCACACTTGCAACAGCCACGGGGCAGACTGCATGGGTGATGCACGCGTGGACAATGTAAGTTGACAAAATGGCTCTGACCAAAGCACTTGAGTACTAACCCATGTATCAGCCCTCCTATCATTGGAACTGCCATCATCTACAGCATCCCTCCGACGTCTTCGAACCGCGTCGGTCTACTCATCGCCTTTTACTGTACACAATTCTATCTCGCCGAGGGAAACCTGATCTTTTCCCTGATCTCTCGCAACATTGCCGGCCAGACAAAGAAGTCTACCACGCTGGCCATCACCTTCGTGGCTTGGGCTGCTGGTAATATGACCGCCCCACAGGTATGTTGAAACCTGCATGCATTCTTAAGATATTTACTGATGTTGCCAAGATCTTCCAAAAGTCCGATTCGCCTCGTTATGAGAAAGGGTTTACGGCGCATTTCTGTCTATACGTTCTCTTCAACATTTTCCTTGTCATCCTTCGGCTCTTGTTGGTTCGCCGTAATGCCAACAAGAGAAAGGCGGCTCTGGAAGCATCTCCTGCAGTCGATGACAGTGGCAAGCAAACTGAGAGTGACCAGTTGGGACACCTGAATGCCTTCGCAGATTTGACAGATAAGGAGAATCCTGACTTCAGGTACGACTTTTGATGTAACGGTATGCGAACTACCGGTCAGGGATATTGTGGTCGTCTTAGGAGGAGTACGTGACGAGAGACTATCTATTGTGAAGACGATGTTGTTATATAGTATACAGCAGCTGGAAATAGCATGTCGTTATCATCCCATCATGAATTGAACATAATAGTTCTCAACAGCGACAGTTTCATCTCGATAACTCGAGCACGTTATTTGAACATCAATTTAATGGCTAAAGAACAAATGGGGACCGGTCGCGCTTGATTCTCTATAGTTGACCTAAGCTGAGTCTATTAGGCTGATACCCAGAAGGATACCCAGTTCGTTTAGCTGAGCCACTAGTAGTCTAATGGAGATACTCGACTTTTAAGTCAAGTTACATATAAAGCTGATCTGACTTCCATTGTCATTTCCTTTCATGTCGTAGACAGGTCGATATGTCATGCAACCATCCCAGTTGTGTTATTTGTAGTTGAAGCCCGTCACTAAGAACTTTCAATTGACCACACACAGTTTAACTCTCAATTCCCTACATACTATCCTAAAACCACCGCTTCGCCTCTTCAACCTTCAGCCTCATCGTGCAGGGTGTACCAGCGCAAAACCTCAAGCCGACAGGCGATAGAGGAGGGTACCGTATCCAAGAACATCATAGCCTCCACTGTTGGGTCCATAATTACCGCCTCCGCCCTCAACCCCAGCGGTAGAGTTACCATTAGTTTGATCGCGATACATCTTGGTCCAGGAAGCGTTGGCATGTTTGATATCGTTGTAGTGTGCATAGACAAGCTCAAAACCTGGGCGATGGGTGTACCTGCTATCCGCTGAGATAACAGTCTGACTGCCTTCGTAACTCTCGTACAGCGTATACGGGACGTCGTACCCAACGTTATACTTCGAGACATATTCGGAGCTTGATTCATATTAGCTACTGGTCATACAAGGCTTGGGACAGCGGGGTTTACTTACGCATGAAGCCCAGCATCTCCCAATGTGGCAAACAAGTCATCCCCCTGGTTGTACCCTTGTTGCATAACAACCCCGAGCAGAGAAATGTCTAGAGTAGCGTGGCCCTGGTCTCTCCCAGCCTCTTGGCCTTGGGACAAAATCTTGCCGCTGCCGGACTCGGTATAGTTCTTGTAGATGAAATTGTTGATCGCTCCGCGTCCGTCTCCGCTGAGGAAATAGTTTTTACCATAGTTGTACATCGTTTGGTTGTCAGTAAATACGCCGATTGCCATGATATTGGCGATGTTGCAAAAGTCCCAGTTTGCGTACTGTAACTCAATTATTAGCTCGATTTGTTCCGATGTTGGTAATTGTAGAAAAGAAACTAACGTAATGATACTCGTCTTGCCCGTTGTGGGTTGTCAAGAATCTGTAACTCTCTGAGAAGAAGACATCCTCGAGGAACGTCTTCATCTGGTCTTGATCCGAGGCATTCCAGCCGCTGTATGAACGCAAAAGCTCTGCTGCATTAGCAAGCTGATAGCCGTAGATACCAGCAGCGAGGAAGCGATCACTGCTACCACCAATGGCCACCATGGTAGACGACCAAGCATTGAGGATAGCAACAGCCGCGTCGGCGTATTGGTCGTCTCCCTGGATGTGCCATCGGATGGCAAGCTGATATGCCGCATGTGCGTCGTTGTAGAGGCGACCATAGTTTTCCGCGTGAGTACCATCCGAGCCGCGGTAAATGGTGGGTTGAGGGTCTGGCTCGTATGTTGGTGATGCATGGCTATTGTTGAGCAAGAGTTGCCAATCTGTGGTCCATGGCTCATCACCCTTGAGTACGTGATTCTTGGCTCTTTCCAAGTCCCGAGACGTGTGCAAGAGGCCAGGATGGACGAACCCGGTCACGGATGCAGCCAGCGCGACGATACAAACGATTGCTTTGGCTACCATGTTGAGTTTGGTGCAGATGGTTGTTGTCTTCCCTGACGAGCTGTGTATTTGTTAACTGAGAACTTGAGACCTGCGACTGAGAGCTTGTAGCATCACAGAAAACGAAGGCCTGGGAATGCGAAACTATTATAACCTCTCAACTACCAGGTGGAGAGTATGTATTGCTCCGATATACGGTAGTTCAATGGAGAGATCGCTGGATTTCGCAGTGATCTGATGCCACGTAACATGAGCCAGAGAGGAGAAAACAGGATGTCGAAGCCGCTCCCATAACTTTTCCCGATAGACTTCCAATAACTGAAATGATCGCCATAAAAATTGGAGTGTCGTACTTTGCAGGCGCGTGTGCCAGTAATGGTTGCTCACGGTCCTCGCGATTGACAAGGTTACTCTTCCGGTTCAATGGAATTGAGTAACAGAAACCTCTGTGGTATAGAAGGAACTGCTTCATCTACGACTTGAAAAGCGCAGGCATGGGGACTGCATTGGCTTGGCTGCAATAGTTCTGCCTACTCTATGAGAAAAGTTGGTTTGCTTCTGGCCATACTGAATAACACAGGGATGCCGTTTCAGGTGAGTTAACTCAACATCATGGGACAAGACTCCTTCAGTGGACGGAGAAACAATTATTCGTTGCCGTTGATGACACACCCCATGCCACCACATACCGCTCTAGGATTTCCCCATGACGCCAAAACAGCCAGGAACCCGAGGTCTCACTCAAACCGGCCCAAGGAACAGAATAGAACGTGCGGAATACCTCAGGGAAGCCCAACTCCTCTGATCAAACCTGCTTGGGTGGTGACCGATCAATCCTCCGATTACGTGCCATGTGCGACTTGTGTGTTGGCGCTAGGAACATCATTGCGATTCCTGATCATTAAACGGGTGCAGGAGATTATCCTCCACTCTCTGGCCTGACGATCATTCCCCGGATTCCCCAGACTTTCCCCGCAACTGCATGCGCGATTAATTACCCGCATTGACTTGCTGGTTTGGAGCAATCATGCCGAAAGGTGACCAGGATTTTCATCAAACTGAAATTAGTTGTCGGAGCTGGCCCGAGAGATCCTCCGTGATGAGCCACTAAACCGTATTGATCAGTAATCGTAAGACACCAATAGCGTCTCTGCATTGCTTATAACCCACGACACATATTTACTTGATTGCACCTTTTGTTGATCTCTGCAGTAGCGAAAGCCTACCGGTTCACGTTCAGTAATAGGTGGAGAATAACAAAGCCATTTTTGGCAACTCGCAACTCTCAGCCTTGTTGAAATCAGCGAAAACAGTTCAAGATGAAACTGCTTACTGTATGGTACGTCCCTGTATCACGTTCGTCACTTGACTAATATAGACTTAGTGGTCACTCTTACTCATATCGGGGGTCGCTGGTCTCGTGCAGGATGTCCCGAGCATCAATGGTAATTCCACCAACATCAATATTGACCATCACTGACCCATTGTGCAGCTGCGATTCCGTATGTCCCTTGGACCGAGGGCATGAAGCGGAAGCCATCCGACTTCAACCATCCGGGTCTCTGGCATTCTCACAACGACCTTGAAATCATGAGAAACGGCGTTCTCAAAGGGCTTGACCCATGGAAGTCAGGCTACGAACAGTTTGCCAACAGCAGCTTCTCGCAGGCCTCTTACAAGATGAACGGTCCATATGCTGTGATTTCCCGCGGATCTATCAGCAACTACACCTCGTTTGCAAATGACGCTCGCGCCGCTTACCATAATGCTATTATGTGTATGTTCCCTCTCTTCACTATGCGTTTATATAAGCATTTAAAGCTAATTGCGATATCACAGGGTATATCACCAAGGATCAAGGCCATTGGGATCGCTCTACTACCATTTTAGATGCTTGGGGTACCAACTTGACCAACATCATTGGGACCGACCGCTCCCTGCTCATCGGCATTGAAGGAACCCTGTTTGCAAACGCTGCAGAGATCATGCGATGGGAGGGCGGCTGGACGGAGGTAGGAGCAAAGTGGCAGGGAGGCCAAGGGTTTAGTATTCAGCTCTACTGGCTGTTTCTTCGACAGAGCTTGATCATTGGCCAGGCCAACTACGGCATCGCTTCCATCAAAGCTTTGATGGACTACGCAGTGTACCTCGAGGATGTCTCAGCATACAACTTTGCCATTTGGTCATGGAAGAACGATTGGTGCGCTGGCATTGACGCAACCATCAACTCCAAGACAGGTCAGAGCTCCGAGTCTGGCCGGGACCAGAGCCATGTCATGTCTGGTCTTGGTTGGCTTGCCCTTGCCGCTAGAACCTCCAAGACTCAAGGATACGACTTATTCGGGTATGGAAATAACTTGCTTCTCAAAGGAGCGGAGTACACAGCCAAATACAACCTGAACGAAACAGTGCCATATGATTCGAAATGGCGTCGATGCGAATCAGTTCTGGTAAATGGCCCCTGGCAAAACATCTCTGAGTTCAACAGAGGCATTGTGCAACAGGTTTCGGGTGGAGTGAAGAAAGCACCGGCAGTGTGGGACCTCCTCTACTATACTTCTGAGGCCAAGGGACTGAACAATCCGTGGACTACCAAGGCCAAGGAAGCATACGATGCTGCAGGCGGAGAAGTGGTGACTGGAGGTGAAATGCCTGGCTTTGGAGATCTGCTCTGGGCTACATCGAAGAAATAGTTAGATCCTAGACTAGTCCCGGGGGATAGATTGTGGTAATATGAGACACTTTGAGACTATGTAGTGTTATTTTCTACAATTCCATGAATGTACATCTGCAGTCTAGCCTTCATTACATAGAACTCCGACTCAAGATGTAGTGGGAACTAGTCTGCTACTTCAAAAGTCAATATGTTACGTGTCGCGCGTTAAGAAGTTAATTGGTATTTTTCAGTGTGTTGGCTTGATATATCTCGTTGAGATGTCATAAGCTTTAACTATCAATCAATCGCGCGCCAAGCCAGTTCTTCGACTGGAGATCTAAGTGCCAACTGTAAAAGATCCCTCTCAGTGCAGCATGGTGGAAGCATTCGAATTTAATTAAACTCCAGTCATATGAAGCGATGTGGAAGAAATGATAAACGCAACAATTGATCTACAATAGGCTGTAGTCTAATTACATTTTCTAGACTTGATACTGCTATAGAAAGCCTCACTATTTAGAAATAACCAGGACCTTTGTCTGCGTTGGCTTGATGCTTTTCAAGCCAACCTTGCCTGCAGACGCAACAACCGCCTTTCCTGCCCAGACGTCCCTGATCTTCATCTGTTTCTCAATAGAAAGACCAGGGATGTTTTCCAATGATATCTCAACGTCTACGTCGCCGCTGCTATAGTTCTGGACCAAGATCACATGTTGCCTCTTCCCAGAACTCAGTGGCCCTGCCCAAACCTGATAACTGCCCTCCTTAGATAGCTTTGGCAGATACACCGCAGGCTTACCCGCGTCATCCTGGTTCAGGGCGATGATGTCCTTGTTCTTGTAAATGGCGAGCGAGGTATCACTGATGTTCTTGAGATCAGCACCGATGATAAGGGGAGACTTGAGGGCAGCCCAAAAGGAGAAGTGGGTTTGCTCCTCCAGCTCCGTCATGGTCCAGGTTCCGATCTCCAGCATGTCCATGTCGGCTGTATTAGGAATTAGTCTAAGTCCTTTGGTGAAATGGCATCGCTGATGAATTCACTTACCCCAAGAGCCTGGTTTCGAGAATGGGCTGATTTCTCTCATCTTGCGTATCATGGTTAAGACGCTGACCCCCGCATAGCCTTGGTTCATGCAGTAAGCCGTCTGGCATACAGTTGGTCTATCCTTCGCAAAAGACGAGTAAATGTCGCCCGACATACGATAAGACTCGCCAATCTGATCCGCCCAGAGCCAGGGAAACTGGTTACCCCATTCGCAAAGCGAATAGAAGATCTGACGACCCGAGGCACTCAGCGCGTACGACATCTTGAGAAATCGCTCCTGAACGGAGAGGGTGTTGCTTTGGAAGCCACCGCAGTTGTCATACTTGAGGTAGTCGACACCCCAATCAGCAAAGGTTTGTGCGTCAATTTCCTCATAGCCATGGCTTCCAGGATACCTTCCGCACGTTAAGATACCGGCATCACTATAGACCCCGAGCTTGAGTCCCTTGGAGTGAACGTAAGAGGCTGTGTCAGGGATACCGCCAGGAAACCTGGTGAGATTTGCTGCAAGCTTGCCGTCTGAATCACGCTCATCATCTTGCCACCCGTCGTCGATTAAAACGTGGTCGTAGCCAACCTTGGCAAGACCATTATCAACGAGGGCGTTGGCAGTTGACCTGACCAGCTCGTCGCTCACATTGAGCTTGAAGCTGTTCCATGAATTCCAGCCTTTCTCGAGTCAGTATTGTACTCGAAGCGGCATGTGCTCGACAACTCACCCATCTGTGGCTTCTGGGCCAAAGCCTTGGCTGCCAAGGCAGCCCTTGCCGAGAGCAAAACATAGAAAATAGATCTCATTGTGATTAATGAACTGAGGTGTCAGGAAAGGTTGGTGCAACGCGGAATATTCTGAACTGGGACCTTGTTGCGGCCTCAAGTATTCATGTGTAGATCAAGTCGATGTTGACGAATTGAGATACGATACAATACCTCCGCTATTTCTTCCACGCCGCCTGACACGGAATGTCCAATTTCAGGGACATGTCTTGGTGAACGGCTGTTCGGACGAACTACCGGACCAATACCCCATACCCATACCCCTACTCCGCACTTACGCCTCCCCCCAGCCCCCGGACGGCCCCCCGCAATTCCCAATCCCATAACAAAATTAGTGGCGAGTGGCGGGCCATCTTTCGGGTGTGTGACATGTTTCTCGGACGTTGTTTAATCCTTAATTGATAGGAGGCTTAGTCACAAATTACAACCTGTCTTCCTTGTCTTGGGAATCAGTCTGATATCATCCAGGCAGTAGCCTTTTATATCATCAAAGTTGCATCTACTTCTCTACAAGTTCGCTGACCAGTCAAGATCTCACTCAAGCGCTTCTATGTCACATTAACACACTTTGGACTATCAAGATGAAGTTTCAACCATCGCTTGTATTGTGCGCTGCTGCGGCATTGTGTAGTGCAAAGGTCTTTGATAGACAAGCACTGTCGTACGCCCCAATCCCAGATGATATCTACCAGCCTCCCGTCGATTCTTCAGAAACCACGTTGCTTGATCTGATCAAGTCCCGGGACGACTTGTCCGAATTGTTGAAACTTGTCGAAGAGACTCCAGGTTAGTGGCCTCAAACTCCCAACTATCATTGGTAGTTCAAAGCTGACTGGGTGAAGGTTTCGCCCAAGCATTCAGTGCAAGCGCGGACTGGCAATACACATTTATCGCGCCGTCCAATGAAGCTTTTAACAATACAGGTGAATACTATAATTCATTCGCCAGAACACCCAAGGGACGCTGGTGGTCTGGACAGATGCTTCAACATCACTACATTCCCAACTCGCGTCTATACACGGGCAACTTCACTACGCAAAAGACTCGAATTCAACTGGGGTCTTACCTCTATGCATCTGCTCAGATCAAAGACGGAGATCTTGTGCTCAACAATGTGGCAACTATCGTCGAAGCCAATATCCCTGTAACGAGTGTGAGTGCCTATAGAAAGAGAAGATTGGACTGAGAATGAATGGCTACTAATGATTGCAGGGCATTGTACACATCAGCGATCGCATTCTAGCTCCCGACGCCATGATCTACGAGGCTGATATCGGAACAACTAAGCAAGGATTTATCCCTGGGTCTTGCTCTAACCCGGCTCTACCTTATTGCTGAGTATGAGGGCATCGAGAGTATCTGGCCTATGGCATTATTATTTTGGACTAGTAGCAACAAATCTGGCATGCTTGCCAAAACCTATACATCTTTTGCTTCATGACATGTTCACACCAGATAAGCTTCTTCAACCTCATCTCCACTAGCTCCCAGTCCCGGTCGTAACCAGTTGTGTAGAAGCACCGATAACGTTCAAGCAATTCAACCGCTCGGTCCCTATGGAGCTGACTCTTTGTGAGACCACCAGCCATATAAAGCAACCAGAATGTGATCTCCGGCGCAAGCTTCCACGGCGACATTTGTCTTGTAAAGTCTGTCATACAATCTAGTATCCCGGTGACACACTTCTCAGGCGCAAAGTACCCTCCCCAGACACCTTCAGAGAGTCGATATGAACAGAGATAAGCCGCAAAGAGGCACGCTCTGTAGATCAGGGCTTCCTCGGTCTGGGAATTATCTCTTCTTGTTTCACTGAGAAGATCCACAAGTCGAATCTGCAAGTTGGCTTGGCCATTGCATAATGGGTAACCCTCATCATCCAAGTACTCCATCAACGGCACTGGGTTATCCAAAGTATCCTCGCTAAAATTATCAGCAAGGCTGATTGACGCTCCTGTCTCTCGGCGCATTGTGTCCACGACGAAACATAACGCGTTGAGATCCTCAAACACAGCAGACACTTCTGCAGACCACCCATGGTTGTGCGGTATAAATCCTTGCGGCAAACTAAAATAACTGCGGTATGTCTCATTCTCCCGTAAGCGGGTGAATATCCCACGATTGTCGAACAGCAAGAGTCGAGGTGCACCAGTAGCAAGGGAGCAGATTATGTCCTGCCAGAACAGAGCTCGCTGAACCTGAGTAACATTCGCGACACTATGTTGGCTGGTCAGGATGTTGGGTTGGGAGATCATAGTTTGGAGGCCGTGGATATGTGTAGCAGCGCGGACATGACCTGGATATGTATCGCGGACTCGGTACTCATAGCTGATCAATATGAGAATGGCTGTCATGGTATGAACTATTGTCGAGTTACCACCAAAGTTCGACAAGTCCTGGTCGAGAGACCGGAGAACCTGACTGAGGTGGTGCATCGTTTCGTAGTTTGGCTGATAGCTATTGGCTGCTAAAGCTAGAAGAAGGGATAGAGCATGGAACAAAGACTTATGGATCAATAATGGTGCCAGGCCATCCCCACTGCTCAGACCTTGGAACACAACACAACGTGTCGTTTGATCGATTCGAAATAGCGGCTCCCCGGCGGTCTTGGCCAACGCTATAGAACATACATTAGCAGAGCGAGGTTGAAGCTGACCTTGGGCCGTACGATGTATCATAAGCTGTCGTAGTCTCTCTGGACTCTCGCACAACGTGTCGAAGGGGTCGAGGAGATTGAGGGAAACTCGAGACCAAGAATTGGCGCACGTGCTATTGAGCCAAGTATGTTGAGCTGAAGCACTATTACCAGTCCCCACAATAGTAGCACCTTTCATTTGCACATCAGATATGCTGGGATCTTTATTCCCATCAGGGTCATGTGTTCGCTCTCGCCTTTGACTGGTGTATTCACGGGTATTCTCGCGGCCGATAGCATCATCTTGAGCTACTCGTTCATGCTGACAGTCTCGATCGCGGGTGGGTGGTGACAAGTACAAGAACTCCGACATGATCTCAAATACAGAAGGTTTCCATTGTATGCTTTCGGGTTTCACATGCAAAGTCAAAGTGCTTGTGCAGGTAGCCAAGGCGTATGTATAACAAGAATGAACGAGGGAGCAATATCCAGTCATGTGGGGCTGCAGGCAGGTGGCTGACTATTCGCCGAGGTAAATCCGTGTTGTGTTTATAGGTCTGGGGTAGTTGGATTGCTATACTACGTAAACAGTAAGCGCTTTAGACACAGCAACAAACAGCCTGTTTTCAGCTGTTAAAGTGCGCTGGGCTAACTCTGGGCTCTTATTAACATTCGAAAAGGTAGTTAGGCAAGCTTCAATTGAGCCTTGAATCCAGCCAAGAACCTTCTTTGCCACTGTATGTACAACCATTCCAATCTCACTGTGACGGTAGAAGTATACCTTGCTCAGCCTTTCAAGCACAGTAACCAAAAGTGGGGTGTTGTTATCCAGTCGTTCCACCACGCTCTTAACATACTCATAATGGATTTTGCCACTTGGCTTAATACCGACACTTATAGCTTTAACATAAATTAGTTCGCCAAAAGTATTTAAATAATAGTATAACTAATTATCTATGTTTAGAAAGTAATAATTATTATTCTAGCTTTAACATAAGGTAGATAGTAAAGCCTCAAGTTGATGACAAACTATCATCGTGTCAGAGAGGATATCCTGGATACGTTGTCTTACCACTACCCTACTACTTGACAAGGCTTGAGCCTCGTTCTCTCGTGCAAGATAATTGACCAATAGAGCATCGTCTGTTGGATTGGCAATATCAGAAGATAGCTTTTGAGTGACATCCTCGATATGAGCAAGCCAAATTGTAAGCCGATTAGTGACACTGTCGCGTATCAATCTCGCCGCAGCGAGGTCTACTGTACCGGAAATTACACGATTATGCTCATATTCAAGAATCTCAACAGTAAGACCACAAAGACCGAGGTAGACGTCCTCAACGAGCAACGGAACAGGCAGAAAGTGCTCGGGATGTTTGATCATTGAGGATAATTGGATATTACGGCTCATGGTATCATATCGCTGGCGATGAGCAAAAACATCCATGTCATAACAATTTCGTAGGGAAAAGGGCGATGGCAGGGTGGTCTCCAATTCGTTGTAATGTAGTCGGGGACGCCGTTGGCAGTCGAGAGATATCCGTGTCTCAATCTTGAAGAGAATACAGATGAGTCTTCATTCACTCACCGAATTAGCTTGAAATGATAAAGGGCTATATGATAAGAAGAAGAAAGAAAATTACGAACCTCTTCCACTCGTCTGTTATCATGCCGACCCACGGACCATAGCTGCCAGGAAACTCGGTTTGGAGGACTTCTTGTGCATATAATCCTTTGAGAAATCCAGTAACTCGCAGTGTCTCAATGAAAAGACCACAGAGAGAGTTAGCCTTTGCTGTTATCTCTTCGTTCTGAGGACAATGTTAGCACGAGATGCTTCGTCACAACCATACATACATTCAAGAGTAATGCAAAGATTATGTTCAACATAATTGACTGGTAAGTCTCCAGACGTCTCATTGCAGAAGGGATTATTTTGCTTCCTAAGATGTTATCCTTTGAACTTGTAAGCTGATATAGCTGGTAAATAGCACGTCACCAAACAGCAACTTATCAATAGCTGTATGTATTGGTCAACAAGTTTACAATGAAGATCTATGAAAACCCTGTTGCTATTCTGCTTGCTAGAAAAATAACACCCAATCATCATGATCGATGCTGCATTGTCAAAGGGCTTTTCGTTGAACTCATAAGTCGCAGCCGTGATTATATGCCATCGATGATGAAAATGATTAGTGTAAGACTGGAAAATCTCTTCAATCCATTGTTTCTCAGAGGCAGATGCATCTTTGACGTGCAGGGGGGCTGATCGGGGCGGTGATGCAGATAGCTGGTTAAGAATTGTTATCAAATAACTGGGATCGTTCGATGAGCTGGGCTCAGTTGCTGTTTCAATAATTGAAATAGAAGGTGGTAATGCATTTCTATAACTTTTTGATCTTGCTTTCGCCATAGAGGATTTGCTCATGGCCTCTCCTATTGTTGCGAGTCTGGCTTCAGGGATAGGTTGTCTGATAGGAGCGGTAGATGATGGTTCATCATTTAGAGGCATTTTGTCTTGTTTCTCGAGAGTGGCATTTCTGCGCATCCTGGATCGTCGCAGAGAGTACTTGCAGGTAATAGATTTGTTCTTACAAAACGAACAATCAGAAACTCCGTTGCCATCACATTTTGTCTTGTTTGCACGGCAAGGATCACAAGCACGTGGTTTAGCAGAAGGATCTTGATGAGTTGTCAAGTGGCGCTTTAAGACATCCCTAAACAATTGGTTTAGAAGTATGTATGCTGAAGAATATGATCTGATCTTACTTGCGCAAATACAACTGCCCACAAATGTGGCATTTGTGTGGTTCTGAACCATGTGTTGCTTGGTGTCTCTTGAGATGTTCCTTGCGCAAGTAACTCTTGCCGCAATCACAAATGAAAGGACCCGTAGAAGTCTGGAAAGACTTAACACCTAAGTCTTGCTGAAGGTCTTTTGCATTTTGGTTACCTGTGGACAGGGATTAGACAGCGAGTACAGAATCGCCAATTTGCAAAGCTGGAGTATATCAACGGGACTACGTACCTATTTGGTCACTCATTGTATCTTGAGATACGATGCAAACTTTGGTGGGCAATGAGAGAAGCTCAAAGTCTTTTCACGGAGTTAACAAAATTGTCTCTTAATATCCGAGTTGTTGGTGATAAAGTGGAGTAAAAATTGGTTCGGTGTTTTGTGGGAGAGCTGCTTAATAAGTTTTTGAGCGGTCAGTACCTCTCTGAGCTGATTCAGGGACACTTATCCTCAAATAGTTAGACCGATCTCATACAAGTCTTTGATATCACTTGGGTAGAATAGAGCCGACCCTTCCATTGCCTAGGGAAGGTTTACACTATCTGATGTTGGAGGTGAAATATTTAAACCCTCCGCATCCTGAAATTCCTACTCAGTTTGACCTGCATAGTCAACGATTTATCTTTTTACTGCCACTTCAAGACTTTGATCAATCTCTACCATGACCACAATGAGAGCCCTGGTCCTCGCCCCCAAGGACAAATTTGTCACCGTACAAGACATTCCTATTCCTGAACCCAGCCCATCGGAGATTTTGATCCGGGTTGGCGCTGTTGCGTTGAACAGAGTTGATTGGCTATATACTGCCAACCCTGTAGCTACGCAGGACTACCGCGTGGTCGGAAGTGATTTTGCAGGCGAGGTTGTAAAGGTTGGCTCAGATCTTGACAAAGTGGATGATTCCCGTGTCAAAGTCGGCACGAGAGTTGCAAGTTTTGTGCAGGGTGGCAAGTATTCCATGCGCCATATCGATCACCATGAACCTAGTCACTAACACGTTGTCCTATCACTAGCTTGCTCTGTCAACGAGCGACCGGGCGCATTTGCTCAATACGTCTGCATTGAGTGGGATCTCGCGTGGCACATCCCCGATAACATGTCCTTTGAAGAAGCCGCCGGCATCAGTTTGTGCGGTCTCACTGCAGCCCAGGGGGTTTTCAGTCGCCTTCAACTTCCTTGTCCGTTTGCCGAAACCGAGGGTTATGGTCACCTTGGCCTGAACTCTGGCGACCATGTCAATATTCTTATCTATGGAGCGACTACATCTCTCGGTCTTTTTGCTGCTCAATTGGTCCGCCTGAGCGAGAAGTTTTCGGGCACTAAGGTCAATCTTATCGGGGTAGCAAGTGCCTCGAAACATGACCTACTTCGGGCAAAGCCCTATGCTTTTGATGCTCTGATCGACTACCATGATGTCGATTGGACTGAGCAAGTCAAGAAACTGACTGCTAACACTGGTGGTGTGCACTATGCAGTTGATGCTGTATCTGTTTCGCCAACTGTTGAGCAAGTCGAATCAATTTTGGCTCCTGGCGGTCGCTTCACAGTGTACCGAAGTCCAGCTCTGGGAAAATTTGACAATACTAAATTGCGCATCAAGCCCTTGATCGGCGCTGTTTGGGAGGGCTTGGGAGTTGAAATCGGTTACCAAGGTACGTGAGGTCTAAAAGGTTGGCGAAAAGTTTGACATTGCTAACTTCGAGTGTTAGGTGCGAGTATTCCAGCGAATCCTCAAGCACGCAAGTTCGCTGCCGAATTCTTCAATTTTCTTGGTTCAGAAGCTTGCCAGCGCAAGGTCAAGCTGTATAGCAACCCCGTTCGTCAAATGCCTGGTGGTCTTGATAAGATTGCCGAAGAGGGCCTGCCACTTATTTCTCCAAACAAGGTGCCGGGAGTTCGTGCAGTTAGTGCCGAGAAGGTTGTCTATACTATCGCATAAGATGTAATGTGTAGTTTGATAGCTAATGCTATTTATGTTTATTTTATATCTGTTCTCTGTAATGCTGTATTGCCATTAAAAGCTGACGCTCGCAATAATTGTTGTGAAGACCGTATCCTGTAAAAGGACTTAGTAGATAGTTAGCTTTGCGGACAATTAGGTGGCTTAAGATAGAGCTATTGTAAGAGGAATTTTAGCTGTGTAGGTATAAGCCGCTTGGTGTTGTGTATAAATGCGTTATTACGAGATTGATCTTAGGAAATTAGGAATTGTCTGCAAGCGGGTTGTTATGGTGCAGTGCTATGCTAAGCTGAATATGGTTAGAGATAGACCTGGTCTAAACTTGGAATCTGCAAACTTCATTATTCAGTCCACTAACACTTAACTTGATCGCTGATTCGTCATCGGGATTTTGTGGGAGAAATGGGAGTAGATAAATTTGTAAGCATATTAGAGATAAGAGAAACTGGCTGGGAACAACTTTCAACTGAGAATTATTAGCAAGATAATTTCACTCCTTCTACACTACTTCTTCTCATACTCATAACTACATCTCGACTATTATGGCTACCCAGTATGCTAAGGACCAACCCCCAGGCTTCGTCAACGCCATCAAGAACGTGGCCCTCGTTGGTGTCAGTATGCCTGTAGAAGCTATCGGGGTCTGATTTGCTAACATATTCATAGGCTACAGGACAGATCGGAAAAGTCTTCACAGAGTATCTTCTCAAGTCTGGCAAGCAGACTGTTACCGCCCTTACCCGCAAGGGTAGTAAGACGACCGTTCCAGAGGGTATCAAGCTTGTTCATATCGACTACGACGATGAGGTTTCCCTCGTTGAGGCTCTGAAGGGCCAAGACCTCTTGGTCATCACTCTAGCCCTCACGGCACCTCCCGACACCCATAGCAAGCTGGTTAGGGCGGCTGGTAAGGCGGGTGTTTCTTACATCGTACCTAACGCTTACGGCGTCGATTTCTACGGCCACCCAAATTTCCAAGATGACATTGAGGCTCTTAAGTACATCTATGCCAGTGTCAAAGAGGTCGAGGATGTTGGAGCCAACTGGCTCGCCATCACACCTAACTTTTGGTACGAGTATAGCTTGGGCGTCGGACCTTTCACATACGGATTCGACTTTCCCAACAAGAAAGTCACTTTCTATGATGAGGGTAAGACTCGGGTGAACACGACTACCTGGCCTCAAACTGGACGTGCATTGGGAGCTTTGGTCAACATGAAGAAACTCCCACAGGACGAGAACGACAAGTCCACTACTCTGGCACACTTTGCGAACAAGCCCGTTTACATCAAGAGTTTCACTCTTAACCAGCGAGAGTTACTTGATAGTGTTAACAAAGTCTTGGGCCAGACTGATGAAGACTGGACTATTTCTTATCAATCAACCGTCGAGCGTTTCCGGGAGGGATTAGATGAACTCTCTAAGGGAGTGGACACGGGCTTCTTGAAGGCTTTGTATTCTCGTGCGTTCTATCCTACTAGCGATGGTGTTTTTCAGACTCACAATGATCTTTTGGGATTACCTGAGGAGAGTTTGGATAAGGCTACTCTGGCCTCTCACAACTGGGCTATTGCCCAGGCAGAGAAGAACGAGGAGTAAACTGGCTTTTCTTACAAAAGGAACTTCAGGACCACAAAATATAGAACCTGACGTTATTAGCGTTTTATATTAATTTAAGACCTACATTAACTTATTTTCATTCCACTTTGTCTTACTAAGTCTTAATAATAAGGTGGTTTTTATTTTATAGTTAATACTTTCTTATTTATTTAATATCTCTAGTTCAAACAGTTACTTATTACTAGCCTTAAGGCATATTAATAGGCATATAAGCTATTCTTAAAGCGAAAAGTATTTTACACTTACTTAAAATAAAATATCTAACTATGCTATTAGTTCTAGTTAGTTATTTCAAGCCCTATCGATTTAACTTTACGAATAAGCTTTCGTTAATTTATTAGTTATATAATGCTCAATTTGTAGTCCAGAATAGTTCAATTCATTTACTTGCCATCTGCCGAAAGACAAAGTATACAATGCAATATATTACAGTTTCCGCCCCAATGAGATCCAGCGCCTGTGATCGATGCTACTGAATGAAAGAGGAATACTCTTTCGCTCTCTCAGCCAAAGGATGCCAACGTTGCCAGTATCCTAACATTGGGTGTTCCAAGTCTTGCAAGCAAACCTGCAGAGGCCATCGACCACTTTTGGGCCCTTTACACACGGAAATTTACATATCAGGGAGCTCCGTCCCGCTGGTGATGAGCTACAGCCACGCGTTTAGGCTGGTACAATCCACGTCTATCATGTGCCTCTGAGTCGGCATGTTATGAGGAGAGGGTAGGGACATGTGAACACTGCTGTTCCAATCGCTGGAAGCCTTTCTGGTACTGAAATCATCTTTATTTACATTTATGCATATTCCCTTCGCCATGTTATCTAGCCTTCTTGAGATCAGTAGCGCATTGCCAAGCGTCTCATCTGCAGCAGATTGATTAAGACCTTGACAGAGGGGCCAAGGCCCTACAGATCTCAATATGGTCTAGATCCTCTTACAATATGCACGGCTAACTAACGTACTTCAGATTCACAACAGGAGACTGTCATTCTCTCTGGTTGTTTTAGTATTTTGCTTGATTTACAGCTTATGCTTAACGCAATATGATATTATGTATTTCACTTCCATGTTGCATTTAGCTTATCTGTTAGCCGATGTACGGGCCATCCAATGCTTTTCCCGAAGCTATTAATAAAATCAAGCACTTCCTGTCGTTCTACGGGATGAGTTAGCAAACAACCACCTGGACTGTCAGTGAGCCTTTAATTCAATAGAAGTTACTCAGAACTCACAAGTGAAAAGTATATGGTGTACAGTAAACCCAGCACCAACTACAGAAGGGTTGTGAATACCGAGACCGACAGCGATATGAAGGTCATTCAAGGCCGCTTTCTGGCATCTCGATGTTAGCAAAAAGGCATCCATGAAGATGGCTAACATACATCTGCAGCTACCCGATGCTCGATAGTTCTCAAACTGGACACCCATAGTCTGGGCTCAGAGATATGTAACAAAATGCGAGCTAGACAATAATGTTGATATCCCATGACTGCAAAAGTATGAGTCAGTTGACTCAGTCACAAAGTATGCGATACACTGACCTTGAGCAGGATTCATCATCCATACCACAGGAAAAGCCGACTTGACGCCAGTAGAAGTGCTTTCCATGTCCGAGTGATAAGGATGATAGTGAGCTGGTATCGAATCATGCCATAGCGCAACCTCTTTGCCAAGATGCGCCCACGTCTCGTAGTCGGGCTGAGCGCCTGGGCCAAAACAAGCCTCTAATACCTGGCAGCAGATGAGAATAATCCGATTGGCAAAGTCCTCATCAGTCGTGTCTATAAATGATCTCGAACGTCTGTACTTATTCAGATCTACTTGCATGGGCTCGCCTTTGATCAGAGAGATGTGTAGGTTCTGTCGGAGAAGAATCCAGCTGGCCGCTTCGCTCAACCCGCCTTCAGCTATGAAGTCGGGGATGTTATTCCAGAGTCGCGCGCATCCAACGAGATGGGTTCCAGTATCAACATCTTCAGAATTGTTAATGAGCAAGCTATGGTAATGAAGTTCTCAAGACCGTCTTACCACACATCTCCTCGTATAACCGTAGGAGGACTGCTGCTGCTAAAAGGTTTTCATCCAACGATGACATTGGGTCGTCAAGAATGGGGATCAAAATGCGCAATGCATGGCTGTGATACTCTTCACTACTTTCGTCATCAATACCGGTGACCATGACCTGATGGCGTGATGAGAAAGCTAGGATGGAGTATGCTAGGAGGGGAAGCTGGCGAGCCCTCTTTGGCACTTCACGACCAAAGCGTTTCGAAGGATCGCAGATATCAATCTGAAACTGGATATCAGAGACAGGACGTTATTTGGAGGACAGCAGCTCACTCTTGGTGACAGATCTTGCAGGTAATTTACTAAGAGAAACGCTTCCCGTCTAGTTCTTATCGGGGATGTCAATCCACGCGGGCTGCCAATAAGGTAGCTGGATGCGTAAGATGCTGGGGAAGACAGTCTTGCTATATATTAACTCACGACCGATACTCAGTCCTCGCGAAAAGACTTACTGTATACCATCATTTGATTTATATTCTAGGGAGCGATCTGCAAGGAATAGAGACGGCGGCATAACCGCATCATGTATAGGTGATTCCACCATTGTGAGATGAGTGTTGAGGGGAGACTACCAGATCGTGGGAAAGGACAGAGGGGGGACAAATGACGCAGCGGCAGCATGATTAGGTAATTAGCAAGTTAACTATAATGTACACAGGATCTACTGCCGTGGTTTCACCATAGCAATCGCCTTTCCTAACACTCGTGATGCATCACGAGTAAAAGAATTGAATATCTGGACATATACAACTAACATATGTTTACTGTATATTGCAGCAAGAAATGGCCACTCCTCGCCGCATGACTCATGCTCAGCGGGAATGGTTTGTCAACGCAAACGTAAAATATCCCCATACTGCTCACTGTAAGACAATAGACTCCCCGCATTCTGACGATGAGCAGGATAAAGTGCGGGCTTTGCCTTGGCTCTTGGAGTTAGTGGTAGACTTCTCCGCAGACAATAGCTCAATTTGGTACAGTTGTTCCGGAACCGGGGAACTAGCCTCGGAACAAGTATCCCAGTTATGGATTTTAACATTATGGTGACATGTATTTCTGATCCACTTGGGTCCGGAATTACCTACCTACCGAGCCAAACGCAGGTATAAGTCTCCCGACCCCAGGTTGTACGTGCCCCGCTATTTCCATTTTGCTTCTTGCTTTCCTGTACACTTATACACATGCCACGATATGGGACGGACTGGGCAAAGAATCTCGGGTTGTAAGGTAAAGCCAATGCAAATGATTCTTGGTTATCGTTACGTGACTAATTTTTGCTAGAATTGCCGTTTAAAGTGAGCTACGTCATACAGGTACATCGATCACGGCTAAATTTAGGCCCGTTTTATCAGACATCTCAGATGTAACGTCTTTTTTTAAATCCCTTTTCCAGCTCAATATGCTGACATAGCCTCCGCACCCAAGGTGATGATGAAGAGCCTTGTGCTCAGTGTATCACTAGAAACCTACATTGTGACAGAAGCCTCCAATGTCGATTTCGCCACAGTAGGCTTGGCTCGACGTTAGCAATGGCGATACCCTATAACAAGATTTATATGCTAAGAATGCGCAAGAACACGTAAAAAGGGGCTGAAATTTTCATCTGATCAACGATGGTGCAAGCTTGACAAGCAGAAGATCGAATTTCTGGATCAGACCTTGGACATTGTTCGGTCGTTTAACTCGTTTTCAGACCCCGAAACCTACCCCAGCTCCTCGGAAGAACAGACCTATTACTTCCTAGAAAGACAAGACGAAGAAAATACACCTTTATCTGGGAGTAGTCGACATGATGTCGACGGTGGTGAGCAACGTCTGACTAGCTCGACTTACTCGCATACAGATACTCAACCACAAGAGACTAGCAATCTGTGCCATTCCACCCTGCAATTCCACCAGCAATCCGACCAATTACCTGGGCTGGTGTTTCACGAATACACAAACGTTACGACTGATCAGATCAATGGTGACACAGAGTTTGCAGCACAAGATACTTATGCTTCGTATGGCGATAGATACCAACTACGTCTACCCACGTGCGTGCTCAAGCAAGACGAGGCAGAGCTGGTTCGCCATTTCTTTTCCGGCTTTAGCGATGCTTTCGATCTTGGGGATCCGGATCGGCCGTTCTCCAGTTGGTTATCAACTCGAGTGCTGCAATATCCTCGACTTCTCGAGTCTATCTTGACGATTGTCTCAAGACATTTTGGCAAGGGGAGGACTAATCCAGGTTGCCTGGACTCAGCGGCTGAGCCGCTTTCTGATAGAAATCCACGTTTGCCTAACATCAGCCCAAACATTAATTGTTCCATGGAAGAGATCCATTCTGTCGTGGACCTGTTATCACGGTTTGCGCAAAGTATGGAAGGTCAGTGTCTCAACCTTTAACGTCTTGTGTCTTATGTTGTCTGGAGCATATTTGTTGTTATTTTGTTAGTGTAGGACCTTTCCACTAATTACCAGTACGCACAGCGAAATGCTTGGTCTCCTCTCCCTCTCTCGGTCAAGCGAACATGATGGATCGACCGACAGAGAGCTTTGAACGAGAGAGCCTCCCCGAGGCCGCCTGGTGGGCATATCTACGAATGGAAGCCTACTTGGCAGTTGTTAATCAGGTACCTTTCCCATCATACTTAGACCCTCTGTGGGCAGAGAAAAGAGGTGCTCCTGTGGATGACAAAGATTGGGCAAATCTTATGCTTCTTCACTTGACAGACATCATCCGATACTGTTTCTCAGATAATAAAGATACCGAGCACTATGCGGCGCTGCTAAAAGACATAACCATCTGGTCGGAGACAAAACCAGATTCCTTCGATCCTATATACACATGCAATCATCCTGAGAAACAAGTACTTCCAGATATATGGCTGTATAGCGAACCAGTGGCTGCTGGCTTGCAATACTACCACCTCAGCAGGATGCTTCTCATGTCTCACGATCCGCGTCTTCCAAAGATTGGGCTTGCAAGGAATAGGACAATGAAGCAAATAGAGGTACAGAAGCACTGTGCCACCGAGGGATAATTGTCTAATGCCGAGTAGCACGAAATGAAGACCGACACCAAGATAGTCTGCGCTATCGCTGCAGGCATGGGCGAAGCCAGTCCCACATACCTGTGCGTTCATATAGACCCCGAACTTTGGCGGTTATGCTGATTTGTATTGAGGATTGCATGCATGGCCATAGCGTTGGTCGGAGACCTTTTCGACAAACGCGCTGAGCAGGATACACTCCTTTGTGCTCTAGCTAATGCAACTGATCGGTTTGGATGGCCGACTTCTTACATGTATGGTTCGACTAATATTTTCATCTATCATCTGGTAGCTAATTGTCGTCTATAGAAAGGATAGTTTGAAGAAAACGTGGGGATGGCTTTAGCTAGGCCATTGTGATAGCTGTAAAGCGTGTAATTCTGATCCTTTGATATATGCGTACTAAGCTCTGTATGTGATGTTTGAACAGCCACGTCGATTTTGCGCTATCCAAGAGTGATTGTCAATAAATAATAGCTTTAAATCAATAGGTCCATAGGAGAAGAGTGGAAGCACACATAATAGCAAATAGGTGAAGCTAGAACATGGCATGGTTCCCCACGGGGTAGAGTCTGGAACATGCGCCACTAATCCCCACTCGCTCCAGAGCTTGGGAACGATGGCAACAGCTCATAACAAATCCGGGGTGTTTGTTCCGGGGACAAACAAGACGATCTCCACAAGGTTCGGAACAACAACACCAAAACGAGAAGAATCGCAAATGTCGACGCCAACTCCCCGCGATTCACAGTCCACAATGCTCTGGGCCAAGCCACGAGTCCAGGTGCCCTCACCAAGTAGTAAACTGAACCTTGCCTTGCCAATTTGTAAAGGAAACTTACTCCGGCAGACACGAAACCCATTTTTGTACCCCAGACTCTCCCACAACCGGGGATCGCAGAACATGGAGCCGACGGCAGTGAACATGGAGAAAGAGGGTCGTTATCTGGGGAAGACTTTTTTCTCAATCGAGATTCTGTACACAATTTCCAGGATCCAACCGCTGCCCCCGCTAATACCCCAACTTTTGAGGCGATCTAACCCCCAGAAAACAAGGTTTCTCGGGATCGTGAGAGCGAGCGAGGCCAATGAAACAACATGTAATTGCCGCATGAATCGTTAGCCTCATGGGAGTATATATATGGTGCTGCGCTCCATTCACATGTTGCAGTTCCCCTCACAACAAGCTGTCTCATCTGCACCACAATATTCATCTCTATTTCAGTCTTCTATCTTGACGTTTCGTAACATGTCTTCTCAGGATGATCATAAGTCCTCGACCGAGGGCGGCGGTATAGAAAAGTCAACGTCCACCAATGTCGAACACCTTGAAAAGTCTCACGGCACTGTTGTCGAATTCGACGACTCAATCGAAGATACCAAGCCATCCAAATCCGTTTGGCTTATCACATTTACCGTTGCCATGGGCGGATTCTTGTTCGGTACGTAGCCTACATACTTCCCCTCTGAACTATCCTAAGATGATCTACTAGGTTACGACACTGGTGTCATCTCGGCCGTTCTGGTCACTATCGGCGACGATCTTGGCCACCATCTTGATTCCCATGAGCAAGAGCTCATCACTTCCATCACCTCTGGCGGCGCTCTCATCGGTGCTCTGATCGCAGGCCTTCCAGCTGACAAATACGGCCGTAAGCTTGGAATCTACATCGGTTGCTTTCTCTTCCTCGTTGGGTCTGTCGTCCAAGCTGCCGCCTTCAACATTGTCGCCATGACTGCTGGACGTCTAATAGTGGGATTTGGAGTAGGGTCGGCGGCGATGATAATTGTAAGAGCCTAATTCTACAAACAGTTGTCTTGAACTAAGTTGCTAACGTCTTCAGCCTCTTTACATCGGAGAGCTCGCCCCAGCCAAATATCGCGGTCGCATGATTGCCTTCGATAACCTCAGTGTGACACTGGGTCAATTGGTTTCTTATGGTCTTGGAGCTGCTCTTACCGATGTCCCTCATGGCTGGAGATACATGATCGCTATCGGCGGAGTTCCCCCCGTCATTCTTGCCGCCCTGCTGCCTCGTTGCCCTGAGTCGCCTCGACAGCTTATTGCTCATGGTAAGAGAGACGAAGCTGAGAAGTGCCTGCGACGAGTTTATCCTGCTGCTACTGAGGAACAGCTCAAATCTAAACTCGAACACCTTGTATGGACAATTGAGGTCGAGTCTTCGGTTGTGGCCAATAAGTCTCTCTGGTGGCAATTCAAGCAGCTTCACTGTGTGCCCTCCAACCTTCGTGCACTAATTTCTGCTTGTACCGTTATGGCCAGTAAGTCTCTCAACATTTTCATGGGTCTGAACCTTTATCGCTAACAGTATCACAGTCTCTCAGCTCGGTGGTTTCAACACTCTCATGTACTACTCTGCCACTCTGTTCTCCCTCGTCGGGTTCAACAAGCCCACCGCCGTTGCCATCGTTGTTGGTGCTACCAATTTCCTTTTTACATTTGTCAACTTGGTTGTTATAGACAAACTAGGCCGCCGCATCATCCTCCTAGTCACTGTCCTGGGCATGGTAAGATACACTTAAGTCCTAGGTAAAGCCACCATACTTATATTCCTCAGGCTGTGAGCATGGTCATCGCCGCCGTCGCATTCCACTGGATTCCCATCTCCAAAGATCTCGTCCTTCAGGCCGATTCCGTCAACTGGGCTGGTATAGTCGTGCTCGTAACCATCATATTCTACGTCGCCTTCTTCGCTACAGGTGTAGCCACGATCGGTTGGGTCGGAACAGAGCTTCTACCTCTCGAGGTTCGCGCTCTTGGCACGATGATGAATACAGTGACTTGCTGGAGCTGCAACCTTATCATCGCGTCGACCTTCCTCTCTATGATGAAGAGCATGACACCTAGCGGCGCGTTTGGCTTTTATGCAGGTATCTGCTTCTTTGGCTGGATTTTTGTTATCTTCTTTTACCCGGAGGTGAAGGGGCTTCCGCTTGAAGAGGTCAGGAAGGTCTTTGAGAATGGGTTTGACGTCAAGTTGGCCAAGCAGATGCAGCTCGACCTCAAGGCTAACAGCCAGGCTTCTATGGCGTCTAAGGCCTAAATGGGAAATTTCGCGAGTTGCATGGCATGCCATCGTGAACCCGATACTACTCAGGATGTTCTTCAAATCCTCGATAGTCGATATTACACTAGAGCTCAATACCGCCTAAACTCTGCAATGTGCTTGAAACTATGTTCCTGATTAATGACATGTCAACTTCTATTTTCGGCTATTGATCCTGAAAACTGAAAACTGAAAAATGAAATCAGAAATATTGATACTATGGTGAGTTCCCTTGACTTCTGCATTGCTATAGGGAGCTTTCCTAGGTGCTTGACTACTACACTTGAGGGTGAGAAATAACTTACAGTTATTTGTTAAGTTGTTCTTCTATATGAGGGCATTTAGAACCTGAATGATCTGTTCCCGGCCATCTCTCTATAAATTTGAACCACTGTAGTTTTTTCTTTCATTCTAAGGAAGTTAAAGGTAAGCTTTTAGGAAATTCTCCAAAAAAGACATAGAATTAAGCATATATATACGACGCTGGGTAGGAGGAAGAGCAAGAACTTCTTATCAACCTCCTATGTATATCCTATTAACAATTTATCCGACAACTCATCAAGAACACAATTGAGGAGCCAAGACTTTGGTTTTGCTTTTCAAAGTCAGCACACCGAGATTGTAGAAAACTCGTCATTTAGGTAGTAAAGGTTGTATACGGGCTACGATTATCGCTTTCACAATGTGCGAATCGCGTCAGTTTGTGTCTGGGCCAGCCCTCTAAAAGCCTCACAGTATATGTATATGGAGCAACTTTCCTCATATGGCTACTTAAAAATAGCGCAATATTTCAGAGTAGTGTATCTGGAATAGGCAATTGCCCCCCGCGCTTGGTCTGACACCGTGGGTGGAGATGGTGGACATGCACAGCGTATGAGGAAATTTGGCCTGGACTTCCGAAAAAGATCAAGGCTCGAGAAGCGAGTCCAGTCCGTCATCCCTGCTTTAGGCTTCCTGTGACATCTTAAGGCTGATTCCTTTCTGGACTGGCGAGGAAATGTTCAGAGGTCGCGGGGTAAATCTACGCGGGGTAAACTTACTGGGGACGGAGAAAGTCGCCAAATGTGGCAATTTTCTCGATCACGATTGCAATTGTCAAAGATTAATATTTACCGTCGCAGAAGTTGCCATGTATAAGAAACTCATGTTGTCTTGCTCGTATACATTACATCCCTCCAAGGTCGCCCAAGAAACAGTCTCTTTCTTACTTTTTTCTCGAGTCTTAACCTGTCATCGAGAGTGTCAACAATGTTTACCTCCATTGCCTCCCTGGGCTCAGCGCCCTATGCAGCTGCAGTGGGTATCGCTGTGGTCTTCTACTTTTTTATCTTCCCTTTTATCCTCTATATCAAAGACCCTAAAGGTAATATATCTGGTCCAAAGATGAAATATCCATACTGACTCTATACAGGTCTTCGGCGCTTCCCTAACATGTCCCCGTTCTCCGGCATGTCTAACCTTCCCTTCATGATCCTCGCCCATGGAGGCGCACGGTCGACTCATCTCGCGAAACTACATAAAACAAAACCCATTATCAGAACGGGGCCAAACTCGTTGTCATTCGCCGGCGGTCAAGCCATAAAAGATATCTATGGCCACGGAACTCCCTGTATCAAGGACGAATCATACATCGTGGGAGCCGGAACCCATTTTCACCTGGCCGATGTTGTAGATAAGCACGAGCATGCCCGAAAGCGAAAGGTCTTGTCGTCTGCTTATGCACTCAAGAACCTCGAGGGCTGGGAGTACAAGGTCGCGGATAAGGTGCAGCGAATGATGAACCACTTCGACAAGGTCTGCACAGCTCCTTTGCCCAAGGGCGCCAAGTTTCCCGACCCCCAAGACGTCAATCTTGACTTCCGCGCCTGGTCTAACTTTTTTTCCCTCGACGCCATCGCCGATATTGGTCTTTCGGAAAAGCTTGGTCTCCTTGATCAAGGTCACGATCGTGTAGAAGCCCAGCAAACATGCGGCACTGTCTACGAAGCCAATCTACGCGAGTGCCTTTATCCCACTGCACGCAAGCAGTCCTATCTTCTGTGGACCTATGATTATTACAAGTTGCTCAATAAGATCTCTAACGTCATTCCTTTCTATCGAAAGATGGCAGAGTCAGCGAAAGGCTGGGATGACATTGTATTACGACGAGCTCAAATCCGATTAGATCGATACCACAAGGGAGAAAAGCTTGACGACTTCTTCCAGGCGCTCATGGAGGACAAGAACGGCAACTCTCATGAGCTTGAATGGGGCGAGATTGTTGCTGAGATCAACATCATGATGAACGCGGGTAGCGTCACGACCGCGATTGCTTTAGCCAACATTCTCTATCAGTTGATACTCAACCCTAGGGTGATGGAGCTCCTGCGACACGAGCTTGACTCTGTCCTAGAGCCCGATGAGGTGGTGGCGCCCTACGAAAAGGTGAAGCATCTCCCTTACCTTCGCGCTTGTCTCGATGAGTCGCTTCGCCTCTGGCCCCCAACTCCCCAGAATCTCGGTCGTCAGACTCCTCCGGAAGGTTTGACGATCATGGGCCAGTATATCCCGGGGAACACATCTGTCGGTGTGTCTGCTCTTGTGGCGCATCGCGATGAGAGCATTTATCCCGAGTCAGAAAAGTTCATTCCTGAGCGATTCTTGGGCGAAAAGGGCAAGGAACTACAGTCTCACTTTATTACGTTCTCAGCAGGTGCTCGAGGCTGCATCGGGCGCAACATTTCATATCTTGAGCAGGCTGTCTGCCTTGCTTCAATAGTTCACCGCTACGAATTTGCACTACCAGCAGGCTTTGAGCTGAAGAGAGAGGAGACAATGAACCACATCCTGGGGCCTATGCCTGTCAAGGTTTGGAAAAGGAACTTGGAAGAGTAAAAGCGGCAGTTTAGAAGTGAGAATATAATTTAGTTTCGTGCTAAGACATAAATTCCTTGGAGGGTAATAAACTATGAGAGACTATTACCGCTCAATCCAAACTGCAGCATGGCTAATAACTTTGGTCAGCAACGGTACCAGTAATCGCTGAAATGGGTTGGTCTGACCTTTCCTATATCTTCAAACGTCACTCTTTAATTGAAGGGGTTGCAGAAGTAGATAACGTTGACAGTCCAGCCATCCACAGTATACAGTACCCAAGGTTTACCATTTGGGTTAGTGCCCTTGTAGCAGTTGTATGTGTGAAACCCGTTCGTTCCCGTTCCAGCCCAAGCATTTCCCTGCTTGCCGCCTGCATCGGCAAAGATGTTTGATGTGAAGGAAACGCCACTACCGAAAGTGCCTAAATCCAGTTAATTTCTTCTTGTGACAGCCTGCAGATTCGGGAAAACCTACCCTTCACTGTTCGACCTTCCCAGATGATGTTGCTTCCATGGACAACGTCAACATAGTCATCAGGACGAGACCCTCCGGTTGCAGAATGCCCATCGGCATAATATGCTATGCCGCTTGAAATCTCACTGCCCTTGTAGGAGTTGACGAGGTAGACGCTGTCGCGGGCAGCGACGGCGCCGGCGAGGGCAGAAGTGAGGAAGGCGGTGATCTTCATGATGATTGACGAGATGCCTGGTTTGGTTAAACATTTTAGTTCCTAATTGTAAAGACACTCTGTATTTATATCCCGTGAGGACGCATGTTTTTGTAAGCCGTCTAACTGCGAAGCAAAAACGGCTGGGCCGGCAGCACAGAAAGTTACCACTATCCGCCATGTCTCATTTGACTATGCTGACATCAGCGGCCTTCATTCAATGCGACGCTACTCTCTGCATTAGTTCGAAGTCAGCGGCATTCGCTCTATTAAGAAACTCTTATGCTGGAGCTGAAAGACCTTTTGTTATTAGCCCTTAAACCCCTGGCATGACTACAGCTTGTGCGCTGTAAGTAATACGAGATCTAACGGAATAAGGTAATATCTTACAAAGGCTCGGACCGCTCTTTCGGAACGTTTAATGCCGGGCTGCCTAATTCGGTAGGGCTAGCGCTGTGGTTGGTGCCATTTTGTTCCAAACAGTGTTTGGAAATTGCATGTAAGACTTACCACCAGCACAGCGCGTCTTGTATAATAATCTCTTTTAAAAAAGGGAAGGGAAAAGAAAATAAGAAAGGCTCTACCACAGCCACTCCTTACAACTATGCATTTACCCATTTATTACTTCCAGGTATACATTCCATGCATTCTAGGCTTAACCCTGGCTAAAAGCCGATAATTATACCACGCCTCCTATCTCCCACATACCACTCATAAGACCCTAAAGGGGTGTTAGCAGCAGGCCTTATGTGCATTCTGTTTTCTGTTTGACTCTACAATAGACCTGCTTATCTATAAAGGACAGTACGTGAGCATGTCAGACAAGCTCTGTTGCCTAGGGCCCGACTCGACTGGCCTGTAAGCTTTCAATGTGTCTCGAGCCCAAGCAGGCATGCCTAAGCAAGTTTAATCTCCTCAGCCTTTCCAGTCTTGATATCAAACAGAAATCCACGAGCCGTGTTCTTGAGTTCGTCCCTAATAACTTGGTTCTTACGAAGCCACTCGAGGTCACCTCTAACGCTGTCCCCCATGCTGCACACAATCATTAGCCACTGAGGATTTATTTATCTGTAGACTCAATACTTACTCAGTGTTGGCGCCCCAGTCAATCTTATCAATTTCCTCCCAATGACTCTCATCAACTCGCGCTTTAAGAGTGTCGCGCATCCATTCGTTGGTAAACATGGTTGAGCCACAATCAGTATGATGAACAATAATGAGCTCGTCGATCACGAATCGCGTGTCTAGAAGAAGGATGTCCCGGACAGCGAATCGGACGTTGCCGCCGGCATTCCGCGAGACCATGACCACTAAATGCGATTAGTTTCTGTAGTGGCGACTGTCTTGTTCTTGACCTACTTTCACCCTCTAGGACCCCGAGGTTGAAGTCGATGAACTTGTCGACGCTACATCGAGGATCGACGCAAGCGACTATAATATCTTATTAGCAAATACTCAGGGATGTTGCAGTCTATGGTCCCTTACCGACGATGGTAAGGCGAGGCTTGGTAACCTTGTTGGCTTCGGCGATAGTTGGGAATGGTGTGAAACCCTGAGGGCTATTACCTGGTTAGATGGTTGTAGGTAAAAGGTGAGTGTTGCGAAAACATACTTATGGGCTTCAATAAGATCAGCAACGGTCTTGGTCATTTTGCTTGCTTGAAAAAGGTATTTACGTAGATGCTTCAGGTAATTGGCGCGTGTTGTTAATTAAAATACTTGAGAATGAAATCCAGACCTAGGGGTCCAACCTCCATTATATACAAATGGCTTTGACAAATCAAAATCGCCATTGCGTGACATTCACTTCAGTAATCCGCCCGGGAGAAGTTGGTTACAGTCGTGTTACCCGAGACTGTTCGGATACTCTCTTATTCTGTATTCATTGGTGTTTTCATGATAAATCAATAAGATGCAGGTTGGCTAGTCCTGACTTGTACTAGTGGTTGAGATTCATAAGCATAAACACAGACGTATGTATTCCGAACTGGGTCGGATATTAACTCAGCAAACCAATTGAGACGGACGCCTACTTATATCCAATTCTAATGTTCCAAGCTGAGAGTCATGATTACTGAACATAAGCAGTAAGGGGACCTGTGACGCAGGTGGCTGTAAAGACCTGTGGCTTTATTTGGTGCCACAAACGTGTTGCGACACAGCAAAGCTCACAATGCAACCCTACAAACATATCTGGTGTCGGTAATTATACATAACTTGCCCGAGCCCGCATCGAGAGCTTCTGGCATTTTCTGTTTTTTTCTGACATATCTATTTGTCTAATTCTCTAGTGCTTGACAGATGAATATCATGGCAGTAACTGATTTGTCAGAATTTCTGTCAAGCATTCTTGTATATAATGTTGATATGCCAACCCAACGTCGAAAACATTACCAGCTACATTGAGACTCATTCAAACTATTGGCCTAAATTATATCCCATCTATTCACTCAACACCATCAATTATGGCATCATCAACTGCTGGCCCCTTCCCTTCTTTTCCTTTAACAGGGATAGAATTTCCGACAACTTCCCTCGTGTTATCTTCATACCAACACGCGAAAAAGTACGCGACTCCAGGTGTTCTAAATCACATCCTCCGGAGTGCAGCTTTTTGCCTTCTTCTCCAGAAGAAGATGCCCGAGTTTGCCGAACTCGGTGACTCTCTTGACATCGAGCTCGTTGTCGTAAGCTGTCTTCTTCACGATCTCGCTTGGTCCAAGACGAAGGAGCTTGTCACGAACACAAGACGATTCGAGGTTGATAGTGCGAACCTGTCTCGTGAGTTCATCAACGCAACGTCGGAGAAGGACGGCAATTGGGAACAAGGCAGTCGCCGTATGCAGATTGCCTGGGATGCTATCGCTCTTCATACAATGGAGACCATTGCACCGTGGAAAGAGCCTGAAGTCGCGCTTGTTCACTTCGGTGTCCATGGGGATCTTCTTGGGCCCAACCTGCACCTCCTGGGTCTACCGGAAGACCTCCCGAACTTGGAAGGCGTTATAACGGAAGAAGAGTTCAAAGAGATTTCCAACGCATTTCCGCGCATGCATTTTGCAGATGAGTTCAAGGAGATCTTTTGCGGCTTATGCCGGGACAGAGGTCGCTATTCTTTCGATAGCAATGTGGTGAATTATGGATTGGAGTGGGGATATGATGGGAAGGGTACTGGAGCGGACGAGTTCAAGAAGTTAGTGGAAGATGCACAGCGCGCTAAGAGCTTTTACGGCGTCATGAGTGCTATTGATAAGCTTTTGGATGAAACTTAGACAGATAGCATTTGTCGATACGGTATAGAAGGGCAAGATACGAGAGCAATATGTTAATAGCGGCAAGCACATAAGCTGGAGTGTTCAACATTCTTAGCATTGGAGCAGTAATACATGTATTACTAAGAGTCGGAGAGACAGGTCCCTAACTATCTACAACCATCTTCAATCATCTTCCCAGCTACCATTGTCTCTGATACATATCCATCAACCACTTAGTAGCGAACAATCTCCATGCGCTTCTTGAGGCGGAAAGCAATAGCACGCTTTCGCGAAGCAGCAGACTGAGTGAAAGCACCAGAGCCACCGAAAGGACCAGCAGCGGCGCCGTTGCGGACACGAACGATGCAGACGTTGTTGGCGCCTCCGACAGAGCCTTCGCAGGTCATACCCTGGGGCATCTGGACCTTGAGGGGGAAGTCGGTGTTGGTGGCGAGGGAGAGACCCTGGATGCCGATTCCAGGAACATCTTGGGTCACCTCTGCGGTTTGGAAGGCATCGGGGTCGGTGCCGCCGGATGTCGCGTCGATTTCAGCTGTCATTGGGCCGGCGCCGTCTTGGTTGATCTGAGGGGGTTAGCTAAGCTAAGCACTTGGATGGGATGAATGGGACTTACCTGTCTATAAGTCATGGTGACCTCGCCGTTATCAGAGGCTGTAGGCAAGCCCTTGGTAGCACCCTCTCCAGCTGAAGCAGCAACGCTAGTCTCTTCAGCTGTCTCGGTCTTCTCACCACCGCCCCCACGGCCACCTCCAAAGAGTCCACCCAAGAGGTTACCCAACTGGCGCCTCCGGTTGTTGTTGTTGTTGTTGCCCTGGTTGTTACCCTTGGGCAAGTTGGAAAGGTCATCCTCAACACCCGCAGCACTTTCAGTGCCGTTATTGGTAGGAACATTATTAGCGTTTCCGCTGCCCAAGAAGCTAGAGATCATGACGGAGGCGTCAACAGGGCCGTTACCCTGGGTCCTGCCCAGAGCGCTGGCTTCTCCGCTGCGGATCTCACGATCACGAATGATGGAGGTGTCAGCTTGAGAACCGCATCGGTTGCTTGAGCAATCACGAGGAGTTCCGTCAGCAACTGCCTATTGTTAGCGAATCCGCTGTATACTTCTATATAGGGTGGCATCTTACTGCTGAGACCAGGCATGGTAACTCCATTAGCTCCCTCAACAGAGAGGACGACTCCATGAGCAGAAGCCATGGCGAAGAATGCAGAGGCGATAGCAAGAGAGTGCATTTTGAAGGTTGTATGGATCAAAAGAGGATTATTAAAGTTTGTGTTGCTGAAACTGAGCCGCCAGGGCTAACTTAAGGCTTTCTTAGAAAGGAAGTGAAGAGAAGAGAAGATGATTGAGATGCTGTTGGATTATTTTCCAAGATGTCGAATGATGCGACTCTTATATACAAATTTGTGTGTATATCGCAAGTATGATGTTTGATATCGACCTCCTCGGTTGTCGGCTGGCCATGCCCTCCCCAGCGCTGATCATCAGCGATCAAATCGCATCAGGAGGAACCCCAACCTCAGCTTCAGGTCATTGTTTCCATTTGTCTCAACGCCTCTCACAGCCACATATTTTCCTCTCAAGAAGTCAGTTCACGAGTCTCAAGTCTTGACCCATGTTTCAAAATTCTTGGTGTTTCATGTTTCGCTCAGACCTCTTGCCCCTCCCCTACGGATCTAACGCTGCACCCAAAAGACTTGACACGTGAAACTCTCCGTGCTAACAATTCGGAGAGTTCTTGGCTT